TTCAATGTTGAAGATTTTGGATGATATTGAGTTAGAGACTTAGCTACTTTAAATTAGTAATATCTCAACATATTGTGATTGTTCTGATGATTTTATCTCTGAAAAGACAATTTTTGCCTGTTCAGGTTGGCGGCTACACTAGGGCTGTCCCGAGGCTGAAATTTGGGGTAGGTCGGACCGGGGAGTAACATGGGCTAGGTGGCGGTGGGCTACCACTTCCGGTTTGGGAGTTATACTACTTTCAACCCGTGCAGTCCCGAGTCATCCGCTTGTTTAATATATAATTTAATGTTAAATTAGACATCAGAGAACTAAACCAAAAAGTAGAAATACATCAACTAAACCCAGATTTCAGAATATCAGTTAGCAAAAATCTTAAGAAAATTCTAAACGTATCTAAAATTCTAAAAGATACACTCTTCAAAAAAAGCGAAATGCATAGCCCATTTGTCATCATTTTTTTATTTGAACGGGATCGTTGTTTCCATAAATCTTACTTATTTTTAATGTCATTATGTAAGGATAAAAAAAATATCATTATTGGTTTTGACTTTTCATACTTTTTGCCGAAATTTGTTTTCGCTTGATTGCACCAAGACATGTGAGTTTAACAACTTCGCAAGAGTTTCGCATGAAAACCAAATCCAAGGCCTTCGTTATTGGCGAATAACGATTAACGAAACAGAACTTGTTTCGTTTTTCGGAATTAAATTTTGTATAACGAATAACGAGACAGAATATGTTTCGGTATTCTGGATTGAAACAAAATTATTTCTCTCTCTTATAAATTTCACTTCATCGTAGTCAATTTGTCAAGTTAACTATATTTTGTATTTATTTCAAGGAAATGAAATGGGTGTAAAAGTGTTACTGGTCTGTACAGACGAGGCTATTAAACACGGGTATACAGTGTTCTATGAAGGACATTTTGCTGGGCAGTGGCGCTACGGCCTACTCTTATTTCAAATTTCAACTGTCAAGGTTATTTTACGTGAACGTAAATGTGTACACGGTACCTCGTTTTTCTTTCTTTCGGACGACTATACACTGTCTCGTGACAGCCCCCCCCCCCCCGACCAACACCACTGACAAGGGGGAGTCACACATGAAAGTTTCGATGCATACTCGACCAATAAGGGACACCCTTATTCAGTGAGCCATCGTGGCTCCTAATTGAGTTATTATATGGATCCCTCGATAGTAAACAACCACCTTTTTATGTCTATGCCATAAAATAATTCATTTGCTGTTGAGTTTGATATTGATTTTCAGTACAAAATTTAATTTGGAATGCAGTTATATGAAAATTGATTAAAACAAGTAACATTTTCAAAATGAAATGCTTAATAAACGGAAACGATAACGAAAATTCACTATGCATGTGTAATGCAATGGTAAAAAAAATTTCACTTATTAATAATAGTAAAAAGAGCATCGGTACCGTTGCAATATACGTCCACATTCCTGGCAGTCAGGGCATGCTCGAAAATAAATAGTTGCTCTCTTTGCGGTATAAGAAATAAACATGCAAAGTTCCAAGATGATATTCAGAATTGCAGCCTGCAAACGAAAAACACAAAAATTGGGCGTGGCTCTGCCTCTGATGGTTGAAAATGAAACGATATAAATAGATACAACCCTATCGTGGATCATAAAGAATTTGATCCAGATCTGTTAATAATTGCAACCAGCAGATTATTTACAGACAAAATCTTAACAAAACGTGGGTGTGGCACCACCCAAGCGGGGTGGATCATGCACTAAAATCAAAAGTTGTCATCCTTAAGAGTATAAAAAATAAGTATACTAAGTCTAAAGATAATCCATTCAGAATTGTGGCCTGTATACGATAAACACAATAACTGAGGGCGGCTCTGACTCCGGGGGTCGGGACTTGCACCAAAACCAATACCTGTCATCCTTAGGCTATAAGGAATACATATGCCAAATTTCAAGACAATACATTACGGCAACACATAGACAAACAAAGAACAAATGGGAGGCTCTGCCTCTGAGGGTCGGGCATTCACAAAAAAAAACAATAGGGATCATCCTTAGGGTATAAAAAGAGGTATGCAAATTTTCAAGACAATCCATTAAGAATTCTGCCCTTGAATAAGAGAGGCGCCTTGTCCGGGCAAAATTTCCCTCATAGCACACTGTTGTAGTAATGTGGTTTTTGCGACCATATTGTATCTTTAATTATTAGATTCACACTTTGTATAGAGTCATATCTCACGCACTCAAACGAGAGAGAGAGAGAGAGGGGGTTTAACATTCACTCGACAGAAACTATATCATTTCGGGACTAACACATGGTTCAATTTTATTTCAATAATTCGCTTGCGCGTAGGGGTCTTTAGCTGTGGGAGGAAACCGGAGGACCCGGAAAAACTTCCTTGAGGTTGGACAGGCGACCCTACTCCTTGTCACGTACAACCGGGGAATCGAAACCCAGCCAGTTCACTAACGTGTTTATATATAAAAACAGTGAAAAATTGATAAAAACATTGAGTATGTCCTTTCCATTGTTAAAATATCCTTCAAATATTATTTTGTCTATGACGTGTGTTTGGTAGACCAAATAAGGTAATGTTCTCCTACCGGTATGGGGATGTTTATTCCATATTTGGGGAGGAAATTAACGCCAAGGTCAGTCTATGACGTAAAAGAATTGAGCCGTTATAAAGAGGCGAAATTCAGGAGAGTTTACCCGGTTTGTCAGAGCAGCCATCAAAGCTATATTCACGTTATTTAGACCGAGGAACATTGATGCAAACCAGGTTTTAATAATAAAGTTGTATAAACGACTTAACCTGTAGTTATATTTACGATCACGAACTGCAATTATTGTCGCCTTGTTCCTACAACGTGGACTCCATCACCAGTTGCTATAAACGATCGATAATCTGTTAATCAGGTCGCGCAAAATATTCTTACTTTAACAGAGGGCGGATTTATTGTTAACCAATTGCATAAACATAATATATGCAATTGATTTAATTGAATAATTCAATCTATACAGACTTACTAAAGTAAAGTGGTTCAGGATCAGACGAAAATACATCCGGCAGACAATATTGGGGGTTATTTTCACATTATTTAATAAGGGTTACCATAAAAATTTCATTCATCATCAATAAAAATCTGGCCATGTTTGATTTTTGAGGATATAACCATTTGGACATGTGCTTTTAAAAAAACTGAAAAAAAATGATCGGGAGGCAGACCACCATTAAATTTCACCATCTCGAATTGTAGTTTGTCTATTCATAGCAATTCTCTCTCTCTCTCTCTCTCTTTTCTCCCCCTTTGCATGCCCATTTTTGTTGATTTTTAGGTCTAGAATGGACGAAGAGGGTTTGAATTAATATTTTCTACCAGGTTTTGGTAAATATTCATGATTTTGAGGCGGAAGGATAACGGAGTTATCAGGTTGGCTACGGTGATATGTACGGCAACTAGTTACATGTTTTGGGTATGCTTCTTCAAGTTTGTGTATCTCAAAATTTTTGTGGTCAACCTCATACAAAGACATGTCCATTTGTTCCTCTGTCTGTAGTGAAAAGCATTCAGCCCAACGAAAATTTGGGGAAAAGTTGGAGGTGGGCAAAGAGGCCAGAATAAACATTGAAGTCAATGGGGGAAATTAATGGTGGTCTACATCCCTTTAATCCAGTATGTAGTTGCCTCCCTTTAGATGTAAAGGCACTCAAAGTCATGCTCGGTCAACTTTGGTTCTGTGTATGTCTAACTTTACTGTCGACCGCTTTGCATTGAACTAAGTCCGAATTTTCAACACTTTTATATTGATGATAAATTAGTTAAGAATGTCTACAAGGGCCTAAAATTATGGTTTGTAATTTATCAATCTTCCAAGGATTGAATTACGTCCATTATAGTATTCATGCCATGCTGTTAGTCTCGATCACTTATATGCTAAAGACTAACCTTGTTAAATTTTCTGCCTGGTAGTCTCGATAGTCTATAGATAATCTAAATATTGTATTTTTTATATTGTAGTTAATCTCTTCAACTATGATGTTGTGTATTGAATTAGTTGAAAGAAAGAAAGAAACAAACCCAATTAATAAACAACGATTAGAACTAGAAGTGAATTGACCAATTTATTTCCCCAAGTAGTCTACAAGTATAACATACATTTTTAGAATAGCATAGTATGACCACACCCCATAGGCATACGAGCTTGGGGGGGGGGCTGGAGGGGGGGGGGGGGGCGCCCCCCCTTATTTTGGGCACCAAATGCTGGGAAAATTTGGGCACACAATTGTACTTTGTAAAAGTTGTATAAAATAATATTGCGTTCTTGAATGTGTCCAATTTAACAAGGAATTTATTATTATTATGTAACATACTAAGAACCTAACTACATTTTTTGGGCACCAACCACCACCCCCCCACCCCCCACCCCAGGTAAAAAATTTCCCCGTACGCCTATGCTAATCCCTCCCTCCCCTTCGCCTATGAAAGCTAATAACCCGTAAAAATGTCCCCTCGACCAACATTGACTTATACTCGATCTTAATGATTTTCTACTATTTAAATTTATTATCTTATTTTCTTTGAAAAATAATTTCTTCAGTTCTCTACATGGCTATTTGCTTCCTTATAAGAAACACTCATTGCTAGGCAAAGGACGAAAAGAAATGTCTGGTGAGAATTTTGCAACAAATTCGAATTCGAAATAAACATTTGCAGTAGCGCCGTTATCCCTAACATTTCCCAAACGACCACCTCTACAATTAACGCCCCGTCATATCTATCAGATGTACATATATTATCTCAGTTAACACACATATATACATACAATAAATTACACAATATCTTCTCAACCATATCAATCTATTAGTCGTTTTTATACGAAGATCATATTCCTTTACAAACCTTCCTGGTCTATATATATACCAGTGAAATGTCTGCCATACACAATAACTGCCTAATCATATAAAGCTTAAAGTTAACCACTCCATTTAAAACCTTCCTGGTCTATATGTATAGCAGGTAAAATGTCGACCATGGATAGATACACGTATTATAATATTATAGTTATGTTACTGACTGTAAGATATATACAAGGTAACGTAGCAACTGTTTTTATCTCTATTTTATATTAATTAACATTAGTAATATGCTTTTATAGACATCGATGGAAACCTGCTGGGTGGATACTGGGTTCTATTCACGAAGGCTGAGAAGTTAACAAATAAAATTTAATATGATATGAATTGGCCTCAAAATACGTTTTGGATGTTATCATGTAAACAACTATAAATACGACGGACTGTATACACACAGGTGTCCACAGATCATTAACTATGTTAAATACACACACTACAATGTATTGCTATACACACAGGTGTCAACAGATCATTAATTATATTACATACACATACTACAAATATTGCTATGTATTACTATACACTGTGATCTTCACAACTAGCTACTCCTACACTTCCAGTTAAACCCTCGTCTGTCACGTTTCACATAAATTCATGAAGCAAACAAATATTATAATTGATAATTATCAGGTTTTGTTTTAGAAATATTTAAATTGTCCGAACAGCAGGATATAAAGTGCATGACCCAAAGTCCCCAGACGTTAAACCTTATGTCATATAGGGAGTCACGGTGGCTCAGTGAGTAAGATGTGAATTATATATTGTATATGGTGATTTTAACCATATACTGGATCCTTACTTAGATAGAGATACAAATATTAGTTCCACTGTCAGGTAACTACTTGATCCTTACTTAGATAGAGGTAAAAATATTAGTTCAACTGTAAGGTAGCTACGGTGACTCAGTGAGTAAAACGTTGGCTCACTAACCTGAAGGTCCTTTGTTCGTTGCTTGCGTTGGCTGAGAAAGTTTATCGGTATTTTAGGGAGATGCAGAATAGAGGGCCTGACAAGGGAGATAACGAATAGTCGCTCGGATAAGACGAACAGCAGAAGTCCCATGTACATTGACGTGAACGTAAAAGATCACATTAGAGGACTTTGTTTTCTTCTTCTTTTATACCATCTACAATTCGAGAATGGAATCTACTAGATCTTTCTACTAGAATCTTACCTACTTAATCGTTACCTACTTTTAAATCTAAACTCGGCTATCTTGATCAAATTATTCCTTCATCATACTACTCTGGCAACAGGAAAAATCAAATTCACCATTCTCGCCTTCGACTCTCTTGCATCATTTTCTCAGACATATTTCTGACAGATCTACATGCGATTGTGGTCACGCCTTTGAAGGCTCTGAACATATTCTTTAATTTGTCCCTTACGTTCAGATGCACGATCTGCGACAATATCAAAACTCCCATAACTTTATCAAAATTATCAAAATTTATTATTCGGAACTGAAGACAGAAACAATTCTGAAGAATTTTTTTTTTGTAGTACATAACTTCCTTCACATCTCCCAAAGATTTTGAAACTTCCGTATGAAAATGTATGAAATGTAAATCTTGTGATTGTGGTTTGTACATATCGTGTATACAGTGTATATAGCCATTGTATAACTTAATCGTTTCTCTACTTTACTTTACTTTTCTTCTTTGTTTTTTTTGGCATCTTTTCGATATATATTTATGTTTGTACTTCTATGGAGAGGGGATCTATAGGCTTCTGTCTGTTCCACAATCCAGTTTTTGTGAATAGATATTGTTTAGAAAATTTTTTTATAAAATAATGACGTTTCTTACGTTTTAATGTACAGTTAATTAATGTTTGTAAAACAAAAATGGCGTCTATAGAGGATAGGCCTTTTCAAAAACCAAATTGTGAATTTGTTAGGACGTTATTAAGTTTATCAAATGTTAATATCCTTGTATTTAGAATTGGTGTAAAATATTTACTGAAGAAACTTAATAAGGTGATACCTCTATAATTGTCGGGTATACACCATGATGTTGGAAAATATCCAGAACATAATACATTATTGAATAATAATAATAGACAAGGTAATAATTCATTTGTACAATGTATAAATAATCCATTTAAAATGTTATCATTGTCAAATAAAATAAAACCAAGTACGAACAAACCAAACCATTAGACAAATTCGAAGTCCTAAAAAAACGGTATAGGTAAAATAGTGTAATCAGCATATGGACTGTTCACCGTGTACAAAATACACGACAAACAGTGGTATCAGGTGTCCATGAGTAAGCTTACCCTGCCTGGCGCCACACCCGCCATAGCTGCATCCAAACTTAGGCGAAATCTCGGTAAAATAGCGTGATTGGCCAATGGACTATTGGTATGCAAAATGCATGTGATAAACAGTGTTAACGATGTAGTACACAGACATTATCAGGGAGATAGTATACGCATCAATTAAATATATCTAGAATTATAGTCGAGAGAGACTTGTTATATTTACCAATCAAGTCAATATGACGGCCATAACACTTTTTAAAGTTTTTAATAAGTTTAGTTCGCAAGTATCCCTGTATGCTTCGCCAGTTTTTAAATGTTTAATGGTTTCGTGTATTTCACTCCCTGTAATCCGTCTATCAATATCTGCAATCAGAGAATCGTTGATACTTAAATAATTATCATGAATATAAAAGTAAACGTCTACAATTCGGTTATTATGTGTAGAAAAGTTCTTTCAAAGATTTTAAAGTGTTCGTGAAACTCCTTAATTCCAATATATTATTTTAAATATATTATGGAAGGTGCCTGGATTACGTACGTAATTCATCATAATAATATCTTGTTTAGTCTTATATGATCAAATAACAACCTAATATTGTCAAATGGGGGCACATTAGTATCATTACTGCAACGAATATTCGATATTTTGAAGAAAATTGAAATGTTTACCTAGTTATCTCCCTTTGCAACCGATAAATAGATTTTAGATTGCTACTCAGATTAATCATTTTCTTTGTCTTTTTTCCACTATAATAACTTGTTTTCCTTATTTTAACTTCGTCGTCTTGGAAACAAACTGCAAAGCTCGACAAGATGATTAATCTGATTAGCAACCTAAAATCTATTTATATATAGGTTGTAAAGGGAGATAACTGAGTAAATATTTCAATTTTCTGCAAATTATCGAATATATTTTTCAATTATTATACTGATGTGCTGCTAATTGACGATATTAGGTCTGTATTTTATAATATTGGGTAGTATTGCATGGCATTTAATAAGTATTTGGTAGTATTGGGTTATTATTTGCTTGATTTGGGTAAAATAGGGAGGCAAATAGAACAGCCAGACTTCGGTAATCCCATTTCCCACGATAAATCCCACTATTTTTGAAAGAAAATCAAATAATATGCTCATTTTGCACAATCACGTTATTGTATTGTGTAGTATGTGGTGATCTTGGAGCATTGGTCGGGTGCTATTGGGTGGTATTGGGTAGTATTGGGCAAATCGCCCAGCCTTGAATAAACTACTAGACTGCACACTTTCAGAAGCTTCTATGTTGAATTTTCGAAATGCATTAGCGTAAACATATCATTAATATCGGATAATAGGGTTAGGGCAGGCTCAATGCACATACAATTACGTCTTTGGCTTTGGTGACTCGACGATGTTTATATCTTCACATTCACTTTCTATGTTGCATTATCGAGTTATCGCACCTCAAGGTTGGTTTACAGCATCCGGATTCGAGGCGAAATTCGTGGGTTCAGTAAACAAAGGTACGTCCATGCTGCATCAAAAAGCACCGAAACGGGTCTTTAACAGTGGGGGGAAACTGTGGGACCCAGGGAAAACCCACGAGGTTGGACAGGCGACACTACCCCTTGTCACGTACAAGCGAGGAATCGATACCGCGCCATTTGACTCAATGACAGACTTTATTGTGACACTATGGGGTACATGTGACTATCCTGGTCACGGATTACAAATAAACGGATGTAAACACAGCAAATACAGCAAACTACAAAGTAATGATAGTACTTTTTGAGTTATTAAAATATCCACGATCTGAGTTTAATAACCTTTATAACTCAGACCTGAACGGCTTAAACGTGGCAAGACCCACATACTTCTTGATAGTTCTACATAAGGTTCGCGCTAGGATGATGTGTTCACCCTAGCCTCTAAGCCGAGGAAGCTATACGTATTGTGATCTCCCGAGCTCCAAAGGATTGTCTGAGGGTAAATCAAACCCGCTCTTTCCTATATAGAAAATGTAATGCGTCATCTATTAGGGCGGGACAATTACCATTTTTGGGTAAGTGTTTCTTATAAGCACCGTTTTACGTCAACACTATTCTAGTTAGTTGTACTAATCCGTGCACGAGATGACTGAACAATAGTACCCTACTTCCAGCAATGGATACTGACATAAATGTCTGTGAGTTAGACTAAGATAGTAGCAGAGTAATGCAAGCTACTTCATTACCCTAGTTTTCGTCACACATCATGTAGGTAAAGATTTCTATATTAAACAGAACATCTTTCTTAGACCTAAAGTAACCCTATAGTGTCATATTATCATTGTATGCGCGCGCGTTAACCATTCGTCCACCAAAGCCCGTACTGTTCTTCTCCTACAATGCACTTCCTAGGCGAGAATGCGAGGGAGTGAGATTGTGACTAAGCCAGGGTACGAGAAAGGCGAGAACGAGAGGGGGCGAGAAATCGAGGATTTTCAAAGGCGACAGTGCGAGAACGCGGGGGGGGGAGTGAGAAGTCGATGGAGGAGGGAGCGAGAAGTTGAGTAAAAATAATCTCGTGTTTTGAAGGCGAGTTCCTCGCATTCTTGCCCTGTTTCCTCGCGTTCTCGCACTCTCGCCCTCGACATCTTGACTTCTCGCACCTTCGCGTTCTTTCCGCCGCGAGCGGCGAGAAGTCGAGATTATGAAATGGTCGCAATAGACTTCCATAGTTACAATAGGGGGATAGCAATTCAGGTAATGTGTTTGAAAATTTATAAATACACGAGTCAATTAAAGTCTGATTTAAATCATTAATAATACAATTATCTGGATAGGCTATCTAGAATTCTTTGTTGATTAATTAGATTTTTGACGACTTATATTTATCCTTGTCCCATTTAACATAGTTCACAAGCTATGGTTGTGATGTCTGACTTGATTCGAGTGGCATGGCCTGAGAATTCGGTAAATACACCCGAGTATAGTGAACTAATAAATAGTCTATTAAGCTGCTTCCCTTTGAATTACTTAAAGTAAAATTCCCTTCCCAATCACTGTCAAATCTCATATTTGTAAATTCCCGAACGAGTTTGGGTATTTAAGCTTGGTGGATCGGACTCATATAGGATTAAATCACTCAGAAGCTATGCCCCCATGGCACATTACCATGTTCTTGTGTACGGGGTAACGGTTGTATAATATGATTTGTGATAAGGTAGTGGGTAATCACGGGCTGAACGAGCGCAAGTTGAAGCAGGGTATAAAATATCCGTCTACTGGTACAGCTTACAGAATAACAAATACTTTAAATATTATAGATACATTTCTAAGTACCGATATATTAAATACCATAATAAGTTACATGTTTATAAGGTAAAGGTTGCTTTTCTTTTGGAAAGTTAGCGCCACACCCAGACAAACAACGTGACAATGATAGGTGTGGGTTTTTTTTTCATTGTTGTTTTCGTTATATTGTGTTAGAATTCACCGCATATCGCATTTTAAGAATTTCCGACAATATTTCAAGAGCTAAAGTGAATTGCGCGAATGACTCGGCTGCTGATTTTGCATTTATTGCGATACCGATAGACAGGTATAAGGCATGTTGTCTTTTACTTCTATTACAGGTCAAACATACAGTTTATCAGGATCAGCATCATATGGTATTAGAGGAGGGGATTATAGATTTACATGTCGGATATCTGTTGATAATATACCTCAAGGTGTGTCGTTTAACATTGGTAATGACATAATCTGTAGAGTATTATTATTAACATGTCAAGAATCATCATCAGATACCAGATATACATGTGGTTGTATCAATGGTAACAACAGAACTCTGTATCTTAATATAACTAATGTTCAATCAACTGATGCTGGAACCTGGACCTGTAGAGACGGTAGTGTCGGCAGTCCACCTGTAACTCTTCCTGTTTATTGTAAGTTGATTGGTTTCAGAAATTTCACATTTTAAATTTAAAACACGTCAGTGCCCAACTAGCTTCGAACATAGAACTTCGAATCACCAGAATGTTATTCCCTTTAAAAATGATTTCTGTACATTCAAAATTGTATTACATTAATTTTTATTTCATTTAACATGCGTAGGCATTTTAAATAGGTCAAGTCTGTCGTTAATTTATCGTCTTCACCGTCTTCAGTTGATCGAACTCTTGTCTTTGCTATCACGTGTTCATTGATAATGGGCGAACTCGATTGAACGTTCCGGAATTGAATTCTCTCAATCCCCAAAATAGTGTGTCGTTAATTTATCTTCTTCACCGTCTTCAATTGATCCCACTCTTGTCTTTGATATCACGTGTTCGTTGATAATGGGCGTACTCGATTGTACGTTCCGGAATTGAATTCTCTCAATCCCGAAAAATAGTGACAATTGGGTGAAAATTACATCACAATTCTACTCACTAACCCTCCGTCGTCGGGACTGAATTCTGCGTCACTCGATTGCAATTCTGTCAATTCGGGACGTTCCGGACTGTGAATCGAGCATCCCCAGGTCGTCGTCACACGGTTCGAAGAGATCCGTAGGGTTACCAAACTTATAGGTTATTCAGGTTCAATCCGCATGCGCAACGAATGTTTCCAACAGGTGCTAGGAATATTTTAACGACTGTGAATTCGGGGTTAAAAATTTGTGGATATTCTTGAGTATTTGTCACAACTGTCGTACAAGAGATTAAAATTATCAAAGTAATCAACAAAGACCAACAAAGGTAGCGAGTTTTAATCTCACAGAAAATTGATTGGTGATTGCTTGTTAATCTTTTGTGGCTTCACACCCATCCAGTTTTAATCTCACGGATAATTGATCGGTAAGTGTTTGCTTCACACCCACCGATTGAAGGCCGGATTATACGGTGTCGATTCAATGGAAATCGTATGACGGGACGGCTGATTGATGTCGTAATCCGGAACGTTCAGAGGTCGAATTACCCAGAGATTTTTTAGCTGAAGTAATAAGGAAATAAATCGGGACATGAAAATGGTGTCGGATGTGACAGAGTGCCAGAGTGATCAGAGTTCGGATGTGACAGAGTGCACTGTACATCGAATTGGAAAGATCCAAAGCTATCTCAATTATGAAAATAAAGAAAAACTCATTCACGCATTCATCTCAACTAAACTAGATTACCACAATGGTTTACTATATGGCTTACCAGACTATCAGATTAACAAACTACAACATGTTCAAAATTCAGCAGCTCGACTTCTCACTAAAACTAGAAAACATCAACACATCTCTGTATTGCTATATTTACATTGGCTCCCAATTCAGCAAAGAATTAAGTTCAAGTTACTCCACTTCGTCTTCAATGCGTTAAACGGCCAAGCTCAATCTTATATAAAAAGTCTTGTAGAACCCTATACTACCAGCAGAAATCTCCGTTCTCAGAAAAAACATCTTCTAAAATCTCCAGCCATTAACTTATAACTTGGAAAACGTGCCTTTTCTTATGCTGGTCCCTTCCTAGGGAATAGACTACCACAATCAATAAACCAATCACCGTCTGTGGGCCATTTTAAATCTCAACTCAAAACATTCCTATTTCAAAACCGTAAATAATCAGTGAATATAAAAACCAACAGCGCCTTAGAAATTGTTTTCTTCAGTATCAACGCGCTATATAAATGACGATATTATTATTATTTATATATTAGACGCATTTGAATAAAATATCTGTTTTGAAGGCTAAAAATACAGTTTTTGCCAAAATGACATTACTTCCGGTGACAGTAAAAGTGTTAAATTACTTGTATGAAATCGTAAATGGCATTAGGTATCACACGGTGAAAATTTTATGAAAATCGAATAATAATGTTTAATTATGTTCTCCTGATTTTGATTGTTTCTGTGTGTTTGAAGAATATGCGCTTAGAAACACTTCACGTGTAATGAAGCGCTATATAAATCGAACAATAAATCGAACAATAATAATAATTGACACTTTTATGGACCAAAAACCTTGAAAAGTTACCTGTTGAAAATCATCTATTTCTCGGCAACTGAACAAGTTAGAAACCATTTTGTGATACCTATATGATCGTATGGGTTCATTCTATTGGTTGATTGGGATCAAATATCAAAATTTTAAACAAATAACAAATACGACTCATTTGAATAAAATACTGGTTTTGAAGGCTATAAATACAATTTTTGCCCAAATTACGTCATTTCCGGTTTAATTGGTTTGACCTTGTTAAAACTGACATTACGCATCAAATGGTGTCACTTTTATGAAAATCGAATAATTGACTCTTTTACAGGCAAACTAGCGTAAAGGGTGACTCATGCAAAATTGCCCATTTCTCGGCAACTGCTCATATTACAAACTAATTTTCACATACATTCTCTTCGTATGGATTATTGCTACTAGTTTATGAAAGTTTCAAAAAAATATATTAAAATATGAAAAGCCTGAATGGGTTGTGAATAGCTCATTTTTTCAATTTTTTCCGCCTTTAAATCGAAATGATCCGAAAACGAAATAAAAATTAAAAAAACTGAGCGCAATGATTTCTGCGACTTAACAGGGCAAACCCTTTCAGTCATACCAGATTTGAAAAAAATAATATTTGCTTTCAAAAAGTGGTACCGAACTGTCAAAATTGCAGTTTTTGCTAAATTTACGTCACATCCGTTATCGAAAGGAAAATGTACTGGTAACAATAAAAATGACAGTTTGGACCACGGAGCATATGAACTTTGTTTTATACAAATCTAACAATAAATAATTAATCCAGGACTGAAAAACTGAATTAGCCAATGGGGACCAAGGAGAAATACGGTGACAAAAAATGTTGCCATTTTTGGTCAAATCAGATGACTCTTTAACTCTAGGTAAAATACCACAAAAAAATATTCATTAATAAAAAAGTTTTTCGTAAAAATTTAAATTTTCAAAATTTGACGCCTAATATCTCCGAAAATTCGTCAAAAATAAAAAATGTCAAGAACTGTAGCTATGTGCCTTGTCTCCGGCTATGTCAAAATGTATTAAATATTACAATCCGACAATTATTGATAATATTACGGCAAAATTTCGAAAAACGACAACTTCGGTGATTTCGGACATTTCGCATTGTCGCAGAACGTTAGAAATAGCTTTAAAATTTAAGTCAAACCCACTTTCCCGGTAAAACCGAAGACATCGAATCGATCCGACAAGTAGTTTCTGAGATATGCTCAAGTGGAAAAATAATAATAATAATAATAATAACTAGAACTGCAAAGCAGTAATGACGGGTTTCACCGGTGCCACGTTACCCTAAACATATGTCACTTCTGGTACCAATGAAACCATTAAACAAGTTTCCACATAAGCATTGCACACATCAAATAAAATGGACGCCCAATCAACCAAATCCAGCAATATCAATTCATTTTATACATTTTTTACATGTAAGTGTACAGTACTTCCGGTGATAATGAAAATGTTCAATTAGTTTTATGAAATCAGAAATGGCATAAGGCATCAAATGGTGAAATTTTTATGTAAATCGAACAATAATTGCCACTTTTATAGACCAAAAACCTTGAAAAGTGACTTGTAGAAAACCGCCTATTTCTCTGCAACCATTCAAGTTAGAAACCATTTTCTGGTATCTGTATGATCGTATGCGTTCAATCTATTTGCTGATTGGAATCAAATATCATAATTTTAAAAACATTACAAATCAGACTCATTTGAATAAAATATCTGTTTTGAAGGCTAAAAATACAGTTTTTGCCAAAATGACGTTACTTCCGGTGGTAATGAAAATCTTAAATTACTTGTATGAAATCGTAAATGGATTAGGTACCAGACAGTTAAAATTTTATGAAAATCGAATAATAATTGACACTTTTATGGACCAAAAACCTTGAGAAATGACCTGTTGAAAATCGCCTATTTCTCCGCAACTGAACAAGTTAGAAACCATTTTGTGATATCTATATGATCCTATGGGTTCATTCTATTAGTTGATTGGAATCAACTATCCAAATATTAAACAAATAACAAATATGACTCATCTGAATAAATTATTTGTTTCGAATGCTATAAATATAGTTTTTGCCAAAATTACATCATTTCCGGTGATATTGAAAATTTTAAATTGCTTTGACCTAGTCACAATTGACATTACGCATCAAATGGTATCATTTGAATGAAAATCCAATAATAATTGACTCTTTTACAGTCAAAATAGCATAAAAAGTGCACTTGCAAAATTGACCAGTTCTCGGCAACTGCTCATATAACAAACTAATTTTGAGATAGATTCTCTTCGTATGAATCAATAATACAAGTTTATGAAATTCACAAAGAAATATTTCAAAATATGAAACGCCTGAATGGGTTGTAAATAGTTCAATTTTACACCGTTTTTCACCTTTAAATCGAAATGGCACAAAAATGAAATCGAAATTAAAAAAACTGCTTCCGACTTTTCTTGCGCCTTTACATGGCTCATCTTCTTACTTTTTACTTATTTTTAAAAAATAATATTTGCTTGCGAAAAGAAAATTGTAGTTTTGGTCAAAATTACGTCATTTCCGCTGCTGACAGAAAGCTTTATCGGTAATAAAAAAGTTGAGACTTTGCACCATTGAGCATTGAGCATATGAACTTTGTTTTATACAAATCGAGCAATAAATAATTAACCTAGAACCCATCAACTGAATTAGCCAATAGCGGCCAAGTTCAATTATCGATACAAAATTTTTTCATATTTTTGTTCAAATCACATGACCCTATAATTATGGGTAAAGCACCATAAAAAAAAATATTCATAAATAAAAAAGTTTTTTGTCAAAATTTAAATTTTCAAGATTAATCGAAAATCAAAAATCTAAATAATCGTAGCTATTTACCGTGTCTCAGGCTATGTCAAAATGTATCATATGTTAAAATTCGACAATTATTGTTAATATTACGGAAATATTTCAAAAAAAGACAACTTCGGTGATTTTGAACATTTCGCATTGTCAGAGAAAGTTCGAAATAGCTTTAATCTCTAAGTCACACCCACTTTTTCAGTAAAACCGAAGACATCAAGTCGATCCGACAAATAGTTTCTGAGATATGCTCAAGTGAAAAAAAAATAAATAACTGCGAAGCAGTAATGACAGGTTTCACCGGTGCCACATTACCCTAAACATATAGTCCATGTGACAGGCAGATATTCATTACCAATTTGATGAATTGGTTTAACTATGATTTTCAGTTAGCCTTAGGTCTAAAGTGTCCAAAATTGGTTGATGGACTTCCGGGTCACTTTGCCCAAAGTCAGTTTGGCGGCCATCTTTAAAAATGGCCGCCGGTTTTTTTTCTTATTTGAAATAGTGCGAGTCGAGGAAGTCTTCATAACTCCTCAACAGTTTCACCTATATGGATATGTAATATGTCTCAAAATGTTCATAATATAATTCTGCATCTACTGGTATATGATATATGTTGTTTAATCAATACTATCAGTTTTAAAATAAAAGATTTATCTGAAAAAAGCAACATTTTCGATTTTTTTTCATGTCTGTTCGTAAGTTTACTAACAAATCGTGTTCAGACCCATATAAGCCAAATTATCTGTTTGGTCAACTAAAGTGATTGAATAGATATCAGAAACATTGATCATAAAAAATAATCTCAAATATGAGTGTCCCAAATCCAAGATGGCGAAAATTCAAAATGGCGACAAAATTTCCTAAAATGGCCAATATGTCAGATAATAGTCATTTCATTGTATGATATGACATGTACTATCCAATGAGCTTACAATTAAAGATACATTACGTAAGATTTAGATAAAGAGCTTACCATTCTTGCTACAATAGTTCGAAAATAGATAATGTAAAATGAATAATTTGACAATTTCATTCAAATTACTCTGTTGCGAGCGAATATATTAGCCTTTGAAGGTTTGACAAGACACGTGCAATAATTTCAACCACCGTACTGGTTGTTCGAAGCTAAGTCTCGCTCCTCCATTTTTAGCTTAAATCAAAATATGGCTGAACTGGTTGTTCGAAGCTAAGTCTCGCTCCTCCATTTTTAGATTAAATCAAAATATGGCTGAACCGTTCTAATCTATTTAATATCGGAGAAATCTGATGCCATCGAGAGTTGATTATGGCCTGGATCAGTTAATTAATGTCTAAATAATAATTTAGAAAACACTTCAGGCCTAAAGAAAGAACTGCAATAGGCAGATTTAGCTCTTGCATAATGTATGTTTAATCTAAACAAAAGGTTTTAAAAATTCAAGATGGGGAAAATTCAAAACGGCGGCCAGAATTTCCATAACATGAATGACTGATTTATATAGCTTATAATATCTGAAAATGATGTTAATGATACTGCTAAAAATGATACATCCTATGCGACCCCCCCCCCACCCACACACACACACCCACCCACCCACCGTAAACAACACAATGGGGCATATGGAATTGATCTCAAAGATCACAAGACATTTAACCCAGTCTGTAGACAATCATTGACTTGTGTACCTGGATCATCATCAGACAGATATACATGTGGTTGTATCAATGGTAACATGAGAACCCTGTATTTTAATATAACTAATGTTCAATCAACTGATGCTGGAACCTGGACCTGTAGAGATAGCTTTAATACTGACAGTAGTGTCGTCAGTCCAACTGTATCTCTTCCTGTTTATTGTAAGTTGATTGGTTTCAGGAATTTCACATTTTAAATTTAAAACACGTCAGTGCCCAACTAGTTGAAGGCATGTCGTCACCAAGAAAGAGTATAATCATGACATGAATGATTTTTCAAAATATTTCCAAAGTAATTAATAGCCTGGGTAATGATCTTCATAAAGTACATTATACTACCTAAATCCTGATGTAGCTTCCCACAACTTTCATGTGTATTGAGAGAGAGAGAGAGGGAGAGAGAGAGAAATAGGTTTTAACGTCCACTTGACACAAACTAGGTCATTGCGGCACTAACATATGGTTCAATTTTATTTCCATAATTTACTTGCGCGTAGGGGTCTTTAGCAGTCGGAGGACCCGGAGAAAACCCACGAAGTTGGACAGGCGACCATATTTCTTGCCACGTACAACCGGGGATTGTTTATAATAAGTGGACTGAATTACGTCCAGTGGTATGTAGAGTTTAAAGTCAATCTTGTATATTAACAGATGGACCAGAGAATATCAGATTTACACCAACCAGTTCTAATATAACAGTGATAGAATTATAGCTCATGTCTCGAAATGTTCTCCCGTCTACTTGTCGTTCCAAATGCAAAAATTAAGCACAGAAATACGGTTACTCAGACAGTTGGAAGTCAAATAGCAGCCAATTTTATAACAATGAATTTCACACCATTAACGCCAGTTTTCATCTGTTTGACACTAGTTTATAGCATTATAAAGTATTCGTATCTAAATAAATCAAACACGTGCTGGTGTAACGAAACATACGCCCACAGCAGCTAAGTCGTCCGCAGAGTCAAAAGGGTTGTCGCATTTTTTTTCTTTTGTCAGAGTGGGTAAGACGCTGGCTCGCTAGCCTGGAGGTCGGGGGTTCGATCCCTGCATTGGCCGAGAAAGTTCATCCAGATTTTCCGACGGGCTTCCCAGAGGGCCTGACAAGAACAGCTGTCTAGCCGTTCGGATGGGACAAAAACCGAGGTCCCGTGTACACATTGGCGTGCACGTAAAAGATCCCTTGGCAGTTGGAATTCGATATAAGAGTAGGCCGTAGCGCCGCTGCCAGGGCAACATTTCCCTCATAGCACACTGTATGGCCTATGCCCGTCGTCATTAGACCAGGTTAGGAGCAGAACAGTAGGAAACATTTACAACACACTAAAATCTGATAACGAGTAACAACCCATTTGGCTACCTGTCTTGCCCTATTCTTACATTTAGCATAAATTTAAGTCAATCGGATATTAACTGAAGCCTCTGTCACATATGTAATAATAGTTGAAACCAATATTGTCCTTTAATATTTAATATAGTAAACCCTCTGCGCAAATAGTTTGTGCCATATAAAATGTCAAATATTAGTTTAGTTGGTACAAATCCTCGCCTCAGAAAATAAAATGAATTGTTATGAGAGATAAAATATACATTATTAGTTCAGGAAATTCAAATTAATTTCAGATCCACCGACCATCAAAAGTTTAACATCAGATGCTAACAACAACATGATAGATGAAGATTCTACTGTAACTTTCACCTGTTCTGTTGACAGTCTTCCATCTTCAGTAATATCCTGGTCTAGATCACAACAAGGGGGACAACTCTATTCTGGTAGTCAATATACCATACCTAAAGCTAGATGTCAACATACAGATAACTATACCTGTACAGCTAGTAATAATATTGGTCAACCTGTATCTAACACTATTCCACTCTATGTTAGATGTAAGTACTATAGCTTAGAGGTCAAGGTATTTGATGATTGTTTATTCATTGGGTTAATAGGTAAAATTAAATATATGCAATTAAATATATGTCGAAAGCATTATTGCAATGTTTATAGTTTTATCTGATGGCCATTTTGTGCTAAAGTGAAGGTAGCAGATGTAGAACATATCCTGTGGTCATGTGTCTGTGAATGAGTGTTGCTTGGCATCTTTCTTGAGAAGGTTGTTCATACTGTTCTTAGAGTTGTTTTAAATACTTTTCTTGTTTTAATTACACTTCGCTTGCGTAGCTGGTACCATTTTAAATCCTGGTGGCAGAAATCAGACAAATTGATATCAATATCCTTTTTGCTGTATTTCAGGTGCGCCTGTCCTGGATCCTAACCAAGAAACTAAAACTACTATATCTATAGGACGTGGAGAGACAGGTGCATTATCAATCCATGTTTTAGCTTATCCACTACCTGTATATACCTGGTATTATCAACTACAGGATGGTAGTAAACAACTGATTACAGATTTTAGAATTAGACAAGAAGATGATGGTCTATCATCAACATTAACTATACAAGATGTTACAGAAGATGATGGTGGCAAATATATAGTTTATGTTAATAACAGTGCTGGTACCAAATCTACTGTATTTAACCTGGTTGTATCGTCACAAGATGGGGACAATGATGACGTTATTTCCAGAGAACGGGGTATTGGTGCAGCTATTTGCCTTGCCGTCTGTTTTCTTGTATTGGGTATTGCCACCGTTTCACTCTGGTGCATCATGAAGAAACGTGGACAGAGAATTTGCTTTCAAAATATTAAAGGTAATACGTTTAAGAGTGTTAACTATTTCATCTCTTGTAGTTGAGGCATTATATTTTCATTAACCTTTTAAACAAAATGTTTTGGTTTGACTACTGCATGTTAAATCGGGGAATTCTCAAGTTAATCGCGCATTTATCAAAAAGCTTTATTTAGTGAAGAAAATATTTTAAGGATAATTGAAAGGATACTTTTCTGTGGACATATTGTAATTGAAATTAACGTGTCTCATAATCAACTGTGTAGTTTAACGTGCACCAGAATTGTCTTCATAGTGTTCTGTATTTATAAATTAATCAACTGTGTTTTCTACAGCAGATCAAACGGTGGCTAACGATACAACCAATCGTACAGACAACGTTACCCTGTCTGATATACCACCTATACCAACAGTTTATGACCGAGTTGATGCAACCAATACTAGAGATGCCGTTAACCTTGACTATATCAACACATCTACAACAGCATCACCATATGAGGTACTGGATAAACAAACTATGGATACCAACACTTATCAGCAACTCAGTCCTTATCAAAATCTACATGTGTAGTTATAACTATGTGCCTTAATACATATAAAAAAAATTCGTGTACAAAAAATAATTCGTATATATATTTTATTTTCACGTTTTTCAAGTAGGTATTTATCCAGAATCGTATAAATAGATTAATACTTTGATATTTCATCTGTATATTTACTAGCTTATTAATGCGGGTTTTTTTTATATTTATTAGCCTATGTGTTTGTGTTGAAAGTAATGAACTTGTACAAATACTGCTTTTCTAAAAGAAATTTATATTAACCAGCTTTCTGTATATTTAGTGATTAATTATTTTTAAAAATATTTTATATATTTGAAGTTATTTATATTCATACGCATTTATATTTGCTGTGATTCGTACTTTTATACTTTGTCAGGAAGCTGGAAAGTAGCGAAACGCTGAAAATCGACCTCTATGCTTCACACCAAATTGGACAACAATCTGTCAAAAACTATAGCCTCTATAGCTGGGGGTGACTACGGTACGGAAAGTCACAGAACCCTTAATATCGATAGGGTTCATCCTCTCATGACCCCAATGCTTCCCGCCAAAAGGTGAAAGAAATCTGTTAAAAATTATAGCGTCTATCGCCTTCACAATATTTTCGGAAAATGAGGAGGACAACGTAACAGAACATCACGCACGCTGAAAATCAATAGCGTTCACAAGTTTTCGGCAAAGTGGGATAATTCCAGAACGGAGTCACGGTACACGCAATGTCGATAGGGTTTGTCCTTTCTTGACTACAATGCTTCAAACCCAAACAGAAAATAAAAACGTTTCAAATTGTAGCCTCTATTGGGTTCCCAAGGTTATTGACTTAGGGGAGATTACACCGGAACGGAAAGGTGTGGATAGCTAAAAATCGTTAGGTTTCATTCTCTCGTGACCCCAAAGGATTATAACAAAGGACGAATATAAGTCCGGAACGGAAAATCGTAGAACGCTGCATATCGATAGGATTCGTCCTCTCATGACCACTGTTTCACAACTCTTGAAAACATTTCGCCAAAAAATATAGACTCTATCACGTTCACGAGGTGTTCGGTTAAGGAGGGATAACTTTGATATGATCACAATCCTTCACATCAAATTTGATAAGAATCCGTTAAACAATCTGTTGAATACTACAGCCTCTATCGTGTTACCATGGTTTTCGGAAAAGGGGCCATAATTTGGGTACGAAAGGTCGTAGAACATAAGTCCAAGGAAGATGAAAATCGATAGGGTTTATCCTCTCATAACCCCAATCCTTACAGCCAAATATTCATTTAAAAATGTAGCCCCTATCGCGTTCGCAATGTTATCGACAAAGGAGGGGATAATTCCGGAGCCAGGAAGTAGAGCGCCGACGAAATTTACGAACTCGGCCATATAAGATGAAACGAAATTTAGGTAAACCTGGGTGGAAAAAAATGGGATTTTTGAAACAATTTGATTGTAAATTATTGTAATTGGGCTAGGCAAAGCAATAAATGACAGAAGATTCTGAACTTTTCTAAAAACTTCAATTACTTTCCCCTAGTAGGCTTACCTAAATTTCGTTTCATCTTATATGGCTGAGTTCGTAAATTTGTGCGTTACCCTATATTTAGATTTCAATGGCCTCTGTCAAGTCGTTTAGAAGAAGGGGACATATTTTTTAACAGCATGTTGTGTCGCTCATACGGTCTTATTTTCTCACTAAGATGTTCATTTACATTGTTCCGGCGTTCACAGGGACCCACTAGAAATGTCTGTCAAAGTGGTCTTCTAACACCTGAAGATGTACGGTACACTGCAGAAAGATTTTCGTGTGGTACACTTTTGAGCCAATCTAGCCTAGTTGTGGGTGGGGGGGGGCATGGCATTTTGGGCATGGAATACCACACCCAGTACCTGAAACCCGGCAGAATTACATTCTGATGAAACCAGATATACATGCATTGATACCATATAGAAGAAAATTGGTTCACTTTTCAGCTAGGTTATCACCCTGGGCTCCCGCTCTATACGTTCAGAGCTGAACTACCGGACTATAGCCTTTATTGTGTTCACAAGCCAATTTTAACGGACGGTCAGACGGACAGGATTGCGACATAATATGCCCTCACTAAAATGTGGGCGTATTAAATCGGTTTGCATCTATTAATAACAATAGTCAAACAAACAATAATTTTATTTATGAAAACAAGCCAACAGTGAGGCTGATGTCCCCCGCCGAAATCACAAAATAAATAGATGACACATATTAATTAATCGCACATTTATTTTTTTTCAAAAGTATCGAGCAATCAAACTACACACTAAATTTCATCACTATCAGATAGAATCAAGATTATCTTGTCACAAAGCATCGACCAATGAAATTGATTAGATCTGCTTAGCTTTAACTTGAAATGTTAATCATTGAAATCAGTCAAGACATTCACTTAATAAACATTCTACCTCAATCAAAAGCAGAGTTGTTATGTTCCAAATTGCTTATCGCTCCTTAGCCCAGGCAGAAAATTCGTACAATCGAACTTAGTCAAGGTAATGATATAATGATCTATATTCAGAGTTTCATCGCTCTCACTCCATATAACCAAAGTTATCGTGCCCCTAAAACATCAACCAATCAGATTGATTGTCTCTGCCTACCGTAAGCAGACAATCTTTATCATCGAACTCCATCAAGGGATTCGCCTAATGAATGCCTACACCAAGTTTGAATGAAATTGCTTATCGCTCTGCTTACCCTCAGCAGAAAATGTTCATTATCGAACTTAGTCACGGTATTGATGTAATGAAACTATACACTAAGTTTCATCACTCTCACTTAATTAGAACTAAAGTTATCGTGTCCCAAAGCATCAATCAGTCGAATTGCTTATCTCCACTTACCCTAAGCGGAAAATGCTCATCTTCGAACTCCATCAAGGTATTGACCTAATAAACACCTACACCAAGTTTGAACATTCTAGCTCAATTAAAAAGAGAGTTATTGTGTCCCAAAAAGTGTGACAGACAGACAGACAGAAGGACAAACCCATTTTAATAGTCCCCTGCTTTCTTCGAAAGGCGGGGGACAAAAACAACTGCGTAATCTTAATTACAAATCTCTGTAATAAACAAACTTAATTATAAATTGGTCTGTAATACCGGGCCAGTTAATGATACATTAATTTGTTGATCATGACCGAATTGTTTTAGAGGTGGCCTAAATTTTAATTTAAGTATGGATAATGGAACAAGCTGTTCCTCCTGTTTCAAATGAATGTAACAGATATTTACAAAATAATTTGTTTTTAAATGAATCTTTAAGGACAGTTAAAATATATGTCCAACAAGAACCTGCCAATAAAATTTTTATGAATATTACATTCATTAGCAAAAATATATAATGAACAATTATTTTATAATAAAATAGCAAAAATATATAATTAACGATTATTTTATAATAAAATAGTAACAATATATTATGAATCATATAATAATTATGTACAGTTATAAGCTAAAATATCAAAAATATAATAAAACACAAAAGTATCAAAAAGTATGACAAATGATTAAAAATGATATATTTGATTTAGTAAGCTGAATATCAATAGATAAAATGAGTCCCTGGTAACATAGCCTGGACCCAAGGACATAAAAAATATTTAAATTGTGTCTCCAAAAATATACGGTACATTTTTATTATTATTATTATTATATAAATAAGATAATTTTCCAATTTCTTTACGTGGTCATGCATTGTATAACTAAGGTGAAAGTTTTATTCATCAGTAAATATAATAGGTTACAAAAGGAATGATTAAATTAATATCAGCAGTACTAGTTCCAACTGTAAAATTCAGTTTTAGTGCTAACACAGTCTAAATACAAGCTATCAAAATTATTCAGTATTAACTGTAAACATATCAAGCGGAACCAATGATATCTATAAAAACCTACAAAAATATCAGAATACAAAAAATAAGTGAGCAATATAAAGTTAGTGTTGTGGCTTTAAAATATGTTTAAATCCCAATACCTGTACGTGCTACTTCAGTTACCCAGAATTCGGTTGCCTGAATTTGTGTATAGTCAGCAGTATAACATACGTTTAAGTGGAGGAAAAGAAACAAAACAAATTCTAATATCTTATTATGCAAATATTTTATTTATCCATGGAATGTTAAATCAGTAGTTGGAAATTTAACTATTTTACATGCTTCAAGTCCTGTGGCGTTTTAAATTCTATGCATGGGGTGCCCATATAATTATAGGGATTACCCGTGTCCCTTTGCGTTATTAGCTGCAACACTCAGTTGAGTTGTAGATGCCATTTTTAATCAACCTTAATAAATGGAAAAAACTACAACAACAGCTTAAAATAATATTTTGAGAACACAGAATATCATAAACTTACAAATTAAAAAAAACCCCAGGAATGTAAAATAATTGTAATGAGTATTATAAATGAATAATACAAATCAAATCAAATAACTATTTATCAATTTATATATTTAAAAACGGATACAAGATTAACAATAACATAAAGGTAATGCATAAACAAGAAATCTAAAAATATATATTCATTCTATAATGTTAACCTTCATTTTCTATGTGTGTGCCTGGTACCTTCTTTTTTTTTTTTTTTTACCTTAATCTTGTTATTTTTACATATAAAACAGTAAATTTATACTGTATTCAATCGATCTGTGCTAGATCTGATAATAAAATAAGTATAAAAACACCACCAAATCACAGATGAATACTGATCCTAACCACTCAGTTGTTGAATACGATCTCTAACCAGTCAGTTGTTGAATACAATCTCTAACAGAGTGTTTCATATAAACAAATTAAAATAAAATGATTTTAACGTCCTACTTGTCTGTATCGACTGGGCTAACTATTTCATATAAAGACAATAAAACAAAGTGGAGCAACATAATAAATCAAATCTCTTCTGTTATAAATCAATATACATATACACAAGGAACCAAGCTAAACCAGGTATTGTATGGTACACAAATGAATATAAAAATATAACTATTTATTAATTTAATTTCTATAAATATTTTGTGGTTGGCTTGTTGAAAATCTCTGATTAAAACAAACAACAGAAAGAATGAGAAAGTCAATTCTAAATTAGTGACGGTCACTTAAAATAGTTAACTATATCCTGTGTCATTCTTAAAAATAAAATATTATGTTAATTATACATGTCATACTTAATGCAAAGTTAAGCATATTATACAGATTGGTATATGAAAACTCAATTAGAATAAACAACATTAGCTCATATCATACAACTTGGTAAATGAAAATTCAGTTGAGAATAAACAACATTAGCTTATGCCATCAGATTGGTTCATAAAAATTCAGTTGAGAATAAACAACATTAGCTCATATATCAAACATAAATAAAATATATTTAACTTTAATTATCATAACAATAATATTAATAATACTGCTAAGTAGAAACAATTATTACAAATTATTTATAAAACAAAACATAGACAAGGGCATGTCCGACTCCCTAATTTGCTTACGAGCAGCAAAGTCGCTCACTCCAGTTCTAAATAACCAACAGCAAAGTCGTTTATTGTAGCCCTTAATTCAATGTCAACAAATCCCGCTAATCAAATTCTTAAAGGTCACAATTCTACAGGGAATCAATCAAGCATATATTCACATGCTCTAAAATATCATATTCGAAAGCTTTAGAAGTCAAATTTTCAAAATCTAATACTGTACAATTCTTCAAAAAGTTCCATATATTTAAAAGCTTTGAAAGTCAAATTTAAGATTAAATAAATAGGGTACATCCTTATACTCAAATCTTACAAGATTTCTACCGTGAGCTATGCCCTGTATCACTTTACAAAGTTTCTACCACTAGCCAGGAGCTGTATCACATACATAAGACTTCTACCATGAGCCATGCCATGTATCACATTTACAAAATTTCATGTCTAAAAATAAAGGTTCTTCCTGACTCCCACTTGACTTTCCTGACAAAATTTCCCTCATATCATATGGTATACCCACCTTCATTAGCCCAGTTGGTGCACATGAAGCATCAATGTAAAAATCGTTAAGTATCTGACAAAACCCCGGGCCAGACAAGTATTGTAGATATTTGACTACGAACAAGGGGTAGATAGATGCCGGTGACAACAATATACGTCCACATTAAATGTACACTATACTAAACCATACTATACTAATATATGTATGTAGTGACTTGATGTCAATAAATACTATACTATACTATACTTTACCATACCATACCAATATGTTCACGTTGTGACTTGATGTCAACAAATACTAAACAATAAATGCCTGTTATTGTGTTACACGTGGACATTTGCCTCTGATTTAGTATGAAGCCCCCCCCCCCCCGGTGTACTTCTTTGCTCGGAGGCCTATATAATAAGACAGAGATAATAGTTAAACTATGAAAGACTCTTAAAACAATAAAAAGTCAGTTACGGATAATAAATGTAAGTTATCTAGCAACAAAAACATATAAACTTAGAACAGTATAGCTTGTTCTCTACATTACACAATCAAGATCCTAATTATTTACGTGGGGATATTCAACTGACAATTGTTTTACACAGAAAATGAAAAACAATCCTCTGTTGATTTGAGGGAGTATGATTAACTATAATACCACATCAATTAATGGAGATGACATGGCTGGGTAGAAAGATTTACTAAAATTAAATCAAGTCTGTCTGTCTTATGATTGAAGACAGTCAAGGAGCTAAAAGATTTTCATTGTGTTTCATGTTTTTGATGTCATTATTGGATCTATTCAGTAATGTACAGAATGTTCAATCAAAAAGTTTAACATTTGAAAGAGATTGGGGGTAGGTCATGATTTGAAAGAGATTGGAGTATATTATGATTTAAGAGATAATGGGTTAGATCATGATTTGAAAGATATTTGGGTAGATCGTGCGATCCATCTAGATTCTTCAATTTAATTCTTCTTAGTTTTCATTGGCTTTGTCTTTGGTTTAGGTGCTGGTGCTGCAGGTGGTGGTGTGTCATCATCATCACTGCTATCAGAAACAGGTGGTGGAGTTGATCCTCGAACACCAGTCTGTATACCAGCATACTCAACTGCCTCATGATAAACTGGTTTCACATCTTTAGCTGGTGTTTTGTTCGTGAAAACAACATCAGCATAATTCAATCCCTCCTTGTTGATAGCTGGTTTCTGGATGAGAATAGAAAATCATAAATAAACTGTGATTGATATATAACGACATTGATGAATATAGATAGAGGTATCCTCAAACCCTGAAGAGTTACCTACACACAACACAGCTGCTGCTGACAACCTCTAATTACTACTGGAAGCAGCTATCACTGCTGGGTGCATAGTGTGTAGAACCTATCTCTAAGTATTGACTAACTGGCCTATGTGTTAGAATATCTATATATGAAGTAGAAAGGGTTCATTGTGGTTACTGTTCATGGAAATTCGTGAGAAATATACGTGCTGTCAGTAGTCGCTTAAACCCGTCAGTATTTGTACCGTACGTCAGTATTCCTATAAATGGTCAGTAATAATCATAAGGTGAGTATTTAAGTCAATTGGTTAGTATTCCTTACTTGTGTCAGTATGTAAAAATAACGTGAGTAATTAAACAAACGTGAGTTAAGCCGACCATATCACTAGTCAGGCGCGTGCGGGAGAAATAGACAAAAGCGTGACTAATTAAGAAACCGTCACTATTTGACCTCTGGGTCACTATTAGAGTGAAACCGCCAGTTATCTTTGATGTGCGTCAGTAACTGGATCCGACGCCAGTAGAGCGTGAACTCGTTAACTATATAAATTTTTTGGTAAGTATTGTTAGTGAGTATCGTCGCTACATTCTGAATAAATTATTAGTTAATTATTTACTAATATTCTCGAATCGGGAAATGTTTTAAAAACAATAATGGATGACAGTCAACAATAGGAATATTTGTCGGCGATTTCAAAATCTGTTTTCACTAATTTTATTTAAACAGATAATATGATAGCAGATAACAGAAATAATGAATTTCATATACGTACATACAAGCTGAAATTCTGATCACTGAACAATCGTGTGAATATCTATATACATTATTATTGGTATCTTCAGATTTGCAACATATTACAAACCGATTCCTGTTTTTTTAAAAAAAAACCCATATAATTCAAACGTCAACCCGACCATTTCAAGAATTGTCTGTGTGAAGGGGACTGCAGCTCGGTTGCTTCATTTAAAAAGATAACTAATATTAAACTATAAAATTGACTGAGCTATATCCGTTTGAGATTGTTTGAGGAAAAGCAAGTCAATTTTTGTTTAATATTTCTCTCGGTGTTATAATTTAGAACGAAAGAGAATAGTCCATACATTAGTAATGTAGGTCTTGTATATTAAACTCTTATGGGAATAAATGTTAATCTCACCACTTAATTAGCACCTTGGTGTTATATCAGGAGATTCAGAATGTTGATTGGGTAATCGAGTTTAGCCTCCTGATTATTATGTTTTGATATCTGTATGGATTCAATTTGGAATGACAACTAATGGTTAAGAAAGAACAAAGTAAATATATTTTCACGGCTTTTACTGAAACAAACATGTAGGTTGAAATTATGAGCACAGAATAGTCATGTGAATATCTTTTTACCTTTGAGAAGTTAGCTTTTATAACAATTTTTAAAAAGTATTTATAACGATGAAAATAGTAATAACATATTATATGGTATACTATACAATGCCAAACGTTCTACGCATGAATGCGCTACCCGACGGGGTAACAAATCGTTCGTTTGGCACTTTATTTTATTTACTTTAAAAGAATAAGTATTAAAGATTGAAATACAAAAATTCACAAATTGAGCTGCCAAATGTTCTACAATGTTTGTGCTACCTGACGGGATAACGAGTCGTTTGGCAGTTAATTTTATTACCTTTTGAAAACATCATCCATTCAATAAAAACAATTCATAAAATTAAATGAAGACCGCCACAGCATACCCATCCACGTTATGGCTATCCAGAGAGGGAGAGAGGGTTTCCACAATTTATCATCTTGGTACACGTGCAAGAGAGGCGCGGATAAAAAACGAAGGTTGATATAGTTCTTTGAATTCATATTTTCTTTTCTTGCATAATAGTAAAACGATACCAAATCCACATTACAAAATTTTAGTTTCCTGTGAGCTGTAATCAATTTTGCAACTCTTCCATCAAAACAAATCCCCGTTTTACTTCTACGTACACTTGTTCGTAAATTCGCTCCTGTATGTTTCGGGGAGCCATGGTGGCTAAGTGGGTAAGATAAAAATGAAGACGCTGGCTCACTAGACAGGGAGGAGGTCGCATGTTCGATCCATGCATAGGTTGAGAAAGTTCATCTGGATTTTCCGGCGTGGTTTCCCCTTATCAGTGGTGAAGGGCGGAGGGCGTGACAAGGACGGCTGTCTTGTCGTTCGGGTGCGACAAAAAACCAAGATCCTGTGCATACATTGGCGTGCACGTAAAAGGTCAATTGGTAGTTAGAATTCAATATAAGAGTAGGCCATAGTACCGCCACACTGTGTGGCATATGGCAGTCTTCATAAGCCCAGGACATTAAGCCTCATTTCATTTCTTGCGTTTTCATTGTTGGGACAATCTTTTCCTCCTAAAGATTACCATCATCGGAGCAATGGCCGCGCTCTGTCAAAAGCTTTTTTTTTCTCCTCGTCTACCTGTATCTGTTCTGTCTCGTTCTTCTCATCTCTATTCCTGTTAACTAAACCACAAAATTTTAAGATAGCCATCAACCAGTGGGTCTGGAATATTGAAACGTAAAGCATGTTCAATACTAAGATTTAGATAAAGAGCTGGCCATTCTAACTATATTACAAAAATAGATAATGCAGAGGGCCGACCGATCAGTCTCCTTAAGTAATACTTGGCATCGCTGTGAAGCCGTGAATCTCTAGTTTATGAATTACCGATAATCCCAATTTTAACGAATACAAACGAGTTTTAAAACCCATACAATACTTTAAAATGTGCGGTCCAGACACCATTGTGATATCATGGTTACGTTCATTACCCTATCTGGGGTTCGGATTCTGATACCATTCCGGTACCTGAAAATAAAAGTAGACCTATCGTACGTTCAAAACCTTATTTTAATTGAGTCATGTTACGAAGGTCACAGAATATACGCTTAGCTGTGACGGTTTCTTTGATAATCAAGAAGCTAAACTCGATTACCCAATCAACATTCTTAATCTCCTGATCTAACACCAAGGTGCTAATTAAGTGGTGAGATTAAAAAAATTTATTCCCATAAAAGTTTAATATACAAGACCTACATTACTAATGTATGGACTATTCTCTTTTGTTCTAAATTATAACACCGAGAGAACTATTAAACAAAAATTAACAATTATATGGCGTGGTTGCTATGTGATTTTTTTTTTAGAACATAACGATATCTTTAACTTGCTTTTGCTCAAACAACCTCAAACGGATATAGCTCAGTCAATTTTATAGTTTAATATTAGTTATCTTTTTAAATAAAGGAACCGAACTCCAGTTGCCTTGACACCAAAATATTTCCAATATGAACCCCGAATAGCTCAGTCAGTTGTATAGTTTAATATCAGTTATCTTTTTAAATAAAGCAATCGAACTGCAGTCGCCTTGACACGGACAATTATTCTTGAAATGGTCGGGTTGACGTTTGAATTATATGGGTTTTTTTTTTAAAAAACAGGAATCGGTTTGTAATATGTTGCAAATCTGAAGATACCATTAATAATGTATATAGATATTCACACGATTGTTCAGTGATCAGAATTTCAGCTTGTATGTACGTATATGAAATTCATTATTTCTGTTATCTGCTATCATATACTATTCAAAAAAAGTAGGGGATATTTGATTTTGGGGGCATAATACTAAAATATGCAAATGACTACGAAAAAAGTCACTATAGAACCTAACAGAAGAAACATTTCCAGTTACATGTGACGCCCAAACGCACCAATAGCTACCGCATGGAATGCAGGTGATGCTTGGGATCATCATGGGGGTCCAACCCAAGATTTGCACGACTCTGACTCTGAATGTTACAGTCATTGTGGCATTGAATTCCAGGGTGGAAACATCAGTTTAATTGTTTTAGTGACCAGAAAACAAATTTTGATATGCGTCGGCTTACCCAAAATGAAAGGTTACGTGCCCTTGGCATGCTACAGATCGGCACAACACAGGCGGTTGTGGCGCGGACGATGAATGTTTCTCAGTCTGTCATAAGCAGGCTATGGTCCAGATACCGTGATACACAATCTGTACAGGACAGACCACGCTCAGGTCGACCAAGGGCGACAACTCAAGCCCAGGATCGATTTATCCGTACCTTGGCCTTGAGAAATCGTGTCATCACAGCAAATCAGATCAGCGCTCGTCTTCAAACAGACACTGGTGTGAGAGTGAGTGGCCAGACGATTCGGAATCGACTGCATAGGGGTCACCTTCGCGCCCGACGTCCTCGCGTGATCCCTTGTTTGGGAGATCATCACATTCAGGCAAGACGTCGTTGGTGTAGGGATCGTCAACACTGGGATAATCGACGCTGGAGCAATGTGATGTTTTCAGATGAGTCAAGGTTCACTGTTGATTTTTTGGACAGACGTAGGAGGGTGTGGCGTCGTCGAAACGAGCGCTTCCAAGACGTTAACGTCATCAGACATGATCGATTTGGGGGTGGTTCTGTTATGGTGTTGGGAGGCATCACTGTTGCTGGAAGAACGGCTTTACATGTTGTTGCAGGGCGTGTTACAGGCCAGTACTACCGGGACAACTTCTTGGCAGTCCATGTTGTGCCGTTCGCACGACGTCATGGCCGCCGTTTCATCTTCCAGGATGACAACGCAAGATGTCACAGGGCCAGGATCGTTACAGGTTACCTCCAACAACAGAACATCACCACATTACCTTGGCCAGCACTGAGTCCCGACCTCTCCCCCATCGAGCATGTCTGGGACATGCTTGGACAGAGGTTACGTCAATGTCAACAACGTCCTGCCAATGTCCAAGAACTTGCTGCTGCATTGCAACAGGAATGGGACAATCTGGACCAAAATGACCTTAGACGTCTCATTAGAAGGATTTACCCGTCACTGACTTGGTTGTGATGCTGTGGTAACTTTGCTGTTTGACCCCGGGTATCATTTTACCCTTATAATGGTCAGTCTGTGCCTTACTTAGTCTAAGATCATTTGGAATAAATCGATGAATGTGAACTTCATTTCATTTTGTCATTTGTTTCTTCGTCAGTTTCATTAGGTGACTTTAATAACACTTAAAAATCAAATATCCCCTACTTTTTTTGAATAGTATATTATCTGTTTAAATAAAATTAGTGAAAACAGATTTGTGTTGATCTTTTTTTTTAACCATTAGTTGTGATTCCAAATTTAATCCATACATTGATTCCAAAATTAATCCATACAGTGATTCCAAATTTAATCCATACAGTGATTCCAAATTTGATCCATACAGTGATTCCAAATTTAATGCATACAGTGATTCCAAATTTAATCCATACAGATATCAAAGTGCCGCAAGTCCCAAAACATGTGCCAATCCGCATGTTATATAACGAGAATAAATATAAATTGTAAATTAAATAACACTACACATTGCGCCGTATTCTGCAGAAATCACCGACAAATATTCCTATTGTTGACTGTCATCCATTATTGTTTAAAAACATTTCCCGATTCGAGAATATTAGTAAATAATTAATTAATAATTTATTCAGCATGTAGCGACGATACTCACTAACAATACTTAACAAAAATTTATAGTTAACGATTTCACGCTCTACTGGCGTCGGATCCAGTTACTGACGCACATCAAAGATAACTGGCAGTTTCACTCTAATAGTGACCAAGAGGTCAAATAGTGACGGTTTCTTAATTAGTCACGCTTTTGTCTATTTCTCCCGCACGCGCCTGACTAGTGATATGGTCGGCTTAACTCACGTTTGTTTAATTACTCACGTTATTTTTACATACTGACACAAGTAAGGAATACTAACCAATTGACTTAAATACTCACCTTATGATTATTACTGACCATTTATAGGAATACTGACGTACGGTACAAATACTGACGGGTTTAAGCGACTACTGACAAAACAAGTATATTTCTCACGAATTTCCATGAATAGTAACCACAATGAACCCTTTCTACTTCATATATAGATATTCTAACACATAGGCCAGTTAGTCAATACTTAGAGATAGGTTCTACACACTATGCATGTTACCGTGTATATAACATGGGTTATGACTGTCTGGCCCATCCTTGTATTACTATTGGAAGCAGCTATTTAACAGGGGTTATGACTGTCTAACACTAACTTGTCTGTGATATCACTACTTTGAGAGAATATTATTTAGTCTGATTTTCGTAATAATATGTGGCGATACTGATACATAATAACAGACACAGTATTAAAAGACAATATTGGAGTCAACCATCATTACATATCCGAAAGAACTTGTTGAACCCATTCCAAAGATAATTTTAACACAGAGATAATTGTTACGGTAGATGTGTAACGAACATATGAAAAAACGGAAAGTGAAGCAAAAAGTGACAAACACGAGTTATCCTTCTATATAACTGACTGAAGTAACGAGCCATAACAGACACGCAAGCGAATTTCATATCACTGATAATCCCGTTAAGACGAAAAGTTGATATATGATTTGACAATTTATAAAAAAATTTGACTGTCACTAGGTAAGAGAAAACAAACAAATTAGAAAAAGTCCTTGCATTACCGTGTTTTTATTAAGTATAGAATGAATAAAAAAAGCAAGGGAATGCATGGGCCTTTTCTATTTTTCTCTTTTTCTCTTATCTAGTGACAGCCAATTATTTTTTTTGAATTGTCAGATATTCTCCCACAGTCTCGTTACTTCAGTCAGTTATATAGAAGGATAACTTGTGTTTGTCGCTTTTCGCGTCACTTCCTATTTCTTCAAATGTTCGTTACACACCTACCGTTGCAATGGTTTCTGTGTTGAAATTATAATTGGAATCTGTTTAACCAGTTCTGTCAAATATATAATAATGGCTGACACCAATATTGTCCTTTAAACTGTTGACATCCAGACATATGTTTCTGACTTCAGTGACTTTCAGGCACATGTATAATTTCGTCACCATTTTTTGTCTTTGTACAACAAAGAAGCTAACTTACCTTTGGAGTAGTTGGTTTCGCTTTGACATCAGAGTTTTCATAATTTCCTAAGAAAAATATTTGATAAATTAACAGTTCAAAGAATATAATCTATATTACTACAATAGACACAAACATCAGCTTCCATATTATAACCTTGAACAAAATGTTACTTTATGTCCATTATCACATCTTACTTATTAGTAGGCTATGTTAGAATTGCTTTCAGATGCACCCTAATAAAATATCCACAAATTGAGCCTTTTTAAATATAAAAAAGAAATCCACGCAGATAGGTCAGATATAATTTAACAGAAATTGTTGAAACTCTATACATATTTTTCATGTCACCATTTTAAACAGTGTATCTAAATTTTAAGCAGATCACAACATGAGTTTATCGGTAGAATATTCACAAGATTCTACAAAGTTAAAATTAACAAAAGCTACTGCAGTTACAAGATTATTGATAAAAAGTACAGAGATAACAAAAAAAAGTTGGAAGCACTGAAGGACACCAAGTGGTCAGTAACACACTGCCTCCTTAATATATAAGGATTTAAAATAGGATAGACTAGAGGTGGAAGAGTTAAGTACAGATAAAGAGTAAGGGCTCATGCAAATTAAACCTCTGCAAACTTTATTCACATGAATAATGTTGTGCTCTATAAGGACTACTGAATGACAAAAAACAAATAGAAAATGTAGGAAACTTTGCAACAATTAAAGATTATCAAACAGAAAAAACAAAGGAGCATAATCACCATTCCAAAATACAAACGACCCTTGGCCATAATTAGTGTTAAAAAGAATTGGGAACAAAGTGTGCGAACACTGATAGATATTTGGAAGGTAGACCTTGACTAAACACTATAGAATTTAAACTAGAATGTGTTGCCTATATTTATGAGAAGATATATGAATGTGTGTAATATTTGAACAAAACAGAAAACATGCATAATATGAATTTTTTACTGGTCTACCTCTCTCCGCACTAGCAGTTTTATTATCTTGACCAATCTTTTTCTTAATAACCTCTGTGTAGATAGCTTCAGGATCTGATAAAACATTTATATATCAAATAATGTGTATACCTGGTGAATACTAGCAGTAGCCTACAGTAAAACTATTATTGGGTTATCTTGATACTGTTAGAATAGCAGTATTACTGTCTACAGTAAAGCTATTACTGAGTTATCCTGATAGAATAGATACTGTCAGAATAGCAATAAGAATTATAACTGAAACAGCATAGATATATTTAATTAATGTTGAACTGATGTAAAATAAACTACCCTACCTGGTTTCTTTGGAGGTTTTTTACTTTTCTTTGATTTGCCACCTGTAGTGCTGTTTCTTTTAACTTCAGATGAAGCTGTTTGACCAAATATTCCTCTTTCTACATCTATATAAAGAAAGATTAGCGGGTCTTAGGCTGGTAAGAGAACTTTGGATTTGGTGAGCTGGGGGAAAAATCCGAAACAAATGATTCTTGTTTTTATGAAAGGTCTATATGAGTACAACTACAGATAAAAATCCACTAAAATTGGCCTTGGACAGGCGTTCTGGTTTTCGTACCTAATCGACTTATAAAATCCAAAAATTTTCGTCACTTTTTTCGGCATGCTGAGAATATGTTTGTGCATCACAAATGCATTTCCGCTATTAGACTGATTGACAAAATCAGTAAATTCGCATGTTGGGAAATTCTAATTGTAAAGACATCCATAAATGCCCCTGCCCCATCCACAAAGCTAAGCTAGAACAGCACATTTACCAACTGCATGAAATTTGTTGCATAATGTTCAGCATCGTCCCTAATCGCCCTACCCCACCAGCTCATTTACTAACCACTCAAAACATGTTGAAAAATGTTCAGCAAATTCACATGTATTAACAAAGACCACCTCTAGACATTTTCAGTGGTGGGGTATCCCCACCGGGCTGGGCGATTTACACACTACTACCCAATACTATCTAAATACTACCTCGTTCTTGTGGGAAACTAACATAATACTTCAATTATGTTTGGTAGTATTGGGCAAACTTCCTGACGTCCCATCCAGACGTTCCTATTTCCCCACACCAAAGCCAGATGGGCACATTTTCTTATCACACGAAACTTGTTGCAAAATACTCAGCATAAGAATGGCAATGGCCAGACCTTTTCAATAGTAGGGTATCCCAGTCAGAAATCTAATTGCTCCTCCCCAAAAGCTAATGTACATTACCACATGACCAAAGTATAAAATGTACCTGAAAACAATCAACATATTCCATAGAATCATAAATGGCCACTCCCATGTATTTTCAGTAGCTATAATAATGGATACACCTGACTGCGTCAGCATTGCCAACACTCTTCAAGAACAATAAACTACATACGGGTAACGAAAGACCCCATTTCTACTCATCAAACCAAAGACCCGAGACACGTCTGCCGCCATCAAAATCCACCCCAAACCAGGTTACATGCATATATGTGTGCTCCCTAGACCCTGTCTTCTACAAAACAGCCCAAAACCTTTCAAATTTTTATTCTCACTTAACTCCAAAGACTTTTGTAATAACATCAAATAGGTTCGTCTCCTACGATGTTGTCGACTTAGTCACGCCCAAGGCAGATTGCAGTGGATTTTTTTCTTGGGATACTTTGTACATACCTCCTTACAAAAATCATTGGTTCGGATTTTGTTCCACAGCTCGAAGTGTCTCCTTCCAGCCTAATCTCTAATAATAATCTGTATTATAGTATCTACTCACAAACTATGAATATTGGTAATAATAGTTATTTTGTTTCTTACAGCATCATCGTCAAACTCTTATTTAATATCTCCATTTACTATTCTACAAGCATTTTCTTCGTCAGCTTTCAGATGTGTATACTTTGGCGAGAAAATCGGCAGTGTGGCTGATGATTGTATGCATGAATTTCGACGTTTTTATGATACATCTCTCAAGATTTAAATATTATTAATATTTTTTAACAGGAAATATTCAAGATGAAAAGAAGTGTATCTTCCATGTTGAATTGTTTGTACCAGCCATACTATCCCTGCCACTAGATCTAATACGTCTGTACCAGACCCAAGACGAATTGAAGACAGGGAGATGATAAATTGTAGTTTTTAACACAACAGACAAATGATTTATGATACTTACTTTTTCCAGATTCAGTTCCATTTTGAGATCCAAAAATATGATCACTTCCTTCATACAAGAGATTATCATCGATAACTGATAAACATAAAATATAAAATAAAACATTGTAATAACAGTGAATAAAAGAAGAACGGTAGGGATGGATGGAGTGGGTGGTTGGGTATTGAGGGGTGAATGACAGGGGTTGGGTATTGAGGGGAGAATGACAGGGGGTAACTGGATGGTTGGGTAGTGGGGGAGTAGAGGTACTGTTTATGTAAAACCTGATTTATCTTTTACTTGCCACACTCCACTGAGAAAACAAAACTTTAAAACATTCGAGATTGAAATATTTTTTCCGCACAAATACAACTGATTTAAAAAGAAAAGATTCGAACACAGTAAAGAAGTACATTACCCATTTTATTATCATTTCCTGTCTTTACGTTAGATGACATGGGACTAAAATATAATAAAAAATAATTCAATGTAACTCATCAAGGTATTAATAGCCATTGATTGATGGCTTATCATTAAACAGCTTCTTTAAACATGCATCATGCAAGAGCTAAATCTGATTATTGCAAGTCTTAATTTAGGCTTCAGATGTTATAGAAATTATAAATTAGATCTTTATTTAAACAACAAGCCCAAAATCAACTCTGTAGACCCACGGATGGCTCGACTACAGCTCGGATTTAAATAGGATTTCACTAATTGATTAAATCAAGTATGGGGCAACCTGATGAAAATACGTCAGTTAGATCGAGGCTAAATGATAGAGTGTACTTAGCGAGGCTGCTGTAAAGCGTTTCCGTATGCCATTGAAAACTTTACTTGATAATCGAGATATGTAGGTGGAGTTAACGTCTGTCAATGGTCGGCCAAGGTGAAGACGCATTTCGCTACCATTTCTAGTCAAATATTACAACGATGATAACTATGTTCAGAATAAAGTAATTTGACTGAATTTTTCAATATATTCTTCTTTCATCATCTACTTTTGAACTGTTATAATGTATTTTTAATGGGCAGGGGCAGTTTTGGGGGCAGAAAAAAGCCTTTTGTTTTGTAACAAAATGTACCCTGACTTTAGACACTCATCATATTAAGGGTTTTTTACCAAAATATTTTGTTTCTTATAGTAATTTGAATCTTGTCAAGTTACACGCCACTTCTTGCCGAATTAAAGGTACAGGCCATCAGGTGAAAATAACATCATCTTATTCATTAAGTCATGTTATTACCTTTACAAAAAGGAGTTGATGGGTATACTATTCTTTAAAAATACTTTAATGACGAGTTTACTTTCACTTAAAAACAATTGTATCGGGAAATTGTTTTTAAGTGAAAGTAAACTCGTCGTCAAAGTATTTTTCGCAATTAATTCTATTGAAGGGTGATAGCTGTTAATATTTCGAAATACGTCCAAAATCGTTTCAGAACGTATAGTCATACGATAAATTTACGATAGAACATGTTTTAAAGGACACAGAGACATTCGCTGAGGAAAAACTTTGCTTAGCTGGGAGAAAATGATTTTTCCCCATGGCTGTTACCATTTTGTTTCAGATGAATTCCAAAAGTTCAGTAATATCTGAATCAGGTTTAGACAGCTCAAAAGCTTCATTATCTGTCCGTTTAATAACCCTGTACATCAATTGATATTAAAAAAGATAGTTGAGGTACTCTCAGCGAATACTTTTCTACTACATAATCATTAGTATCGGTTCTAGTGGTATGATGAAATGATCAACGTATTCAGAAATACTTTAACATTCACTAGCAGAATTGTTCACAAGTTGAGTATACATTGATATATTGTATACTTTTGTACAATTATTGTGTTAAAATGAAGACAGTTGATGATAGTTTTAATGGACGTTGCGTTATTAGCGAAGTGACTTTTTTCTTAATAATAGGACAATAGACCAAGGTGAGATGTTATTTTTTATAGGTTTTCTTATCCTGTCGTTACTATAAAACAAGAATAATATATAACTTACATGTTATCTGTTTGTCCTGTACAAATAAAAAATAAATTATTGATATTATAACTAACATGAATAGCAAGGTTATCTTTGTTATCAACGATACAATTAACCAATTCAAGAATATCAGATATAAGTACCGTGGGTAGTTTTTGGTATGTAAAATATCAGTCAAATTATCTTTGTTCTGTTATTGTTATTATAAAAATAGTTCAACAGTATAGAAATGCTATACAACAACAGGTGATGATGACATACAGTAAAAAAATGAAACCCCTAATACTACTAATCTATATATATATTTGTGACTGTCGTTTGTCTGTCTGTCTGTCTGTCTGTCTGTTCGAGGTTGGCGGCTACACTAGGTCTGCCCCGAGTCTGAAATTTCGGGTATAGGGGTAGCTCGGACCGGGGAGTAACATAGGCCAGGTGGCGTTAGTCTACCACTTCGGTTTCGGAGTTATGACCCCCCGATCGAAGCCGGTCTGTTCGGGGTTGGCGGCTACACTAGGTCTGCCACGAGTCTGAAATTTGGGGTATAGGGATAGCTCAGAACGGGGAGTAACATAGGCCAGGTTGCGTTAGTCTACCACTTCCGGTTTCGGAGTTATGACCCCCGAGCGAAGCCGGGTATCCTGCTAGTATACTAATATTTGTGACTGTCGTTTGTCTGTCTGTTTGCCTGTCTGTCTGTTCGGGGTTGGCGGCTACACTAGGTCTGCCCCGAGTCTGAAATTTGTGGTATAGGGGAAGCTCGGACCGGGGAGTAACATAGGCCAGGTGGCGTTAGTCTACCACTTCCGGTTTCGGAGTTATGACCCCCGAGCGAAGCCGGGTATCCTGCTAGTAATAAATAAAGGAATAAAATCATAATTCATGACATACCTTTTCCAGTTCCTGCTCCATTTTGGGGTCCAAATAAATGATCGCTGCCCTCATATGTTAAATTGTCATCGATAACTGAAATGTTAATAATTATATATTACGGATGTCAGCTGTTTCGTAACCTGCCTGTTTCGTACTTAGTTTATTCGTACCTCACATTTTTCGTACTTCACTTCGTACCTCAAATTGATTCGTACCTTTTCCTATGTTGTTGAAATCAGTTAAAAGAAATTGAAATAAAGGTGAAACGATTTGATCAAATCCAATGGCTACGCTAAAATTATGAAATTGGCTGCCGAGCCATAATTAGAATATGCACGAGATTTAGTTTGTTTTCCTAAATGTGTTTGAAAGAAATTGAAATATACTGAGCGCCATGGAAAACGTATAACAAAATGATCTTGTAAACATATCTTATTTATTTTGCTTCTTATTGTGAACAATATTCAAATGGGAACACATCAATAACAACAAAAACCAAAAGTATGACACAGATGTCAGTAGCGTTTGTGTCCTCCACGGGATCTTACACACGCTGTGCAGCGACGTCGCATGGAATTTACCAGTGTTTGAAAAAAGGCCTGGGGCAAATTCTTCCATTCTTGGACAAGAGCAGCTTCTAAAGCAGCAATGATGTGTATCTGATCTGTGGTCTCCGATACAGACGACGTCCAATCTCATACCAGACATGTTCTATCGGTGCCATGTCAGGAGACATGGCTGGCCAGTCCAAGACATTGATGTTGTTAGCAGCCAGGTAGTCCATACTAAAACGGGCGGTATGCGGACGTGCATTATCCTGTTGGAAGTGCTGAAGTTGTGGGTGCGCTCGAAACATCGGAACAACAATTGGTTGCAAGACATCATCGAGGTAGGCTACAGCATTAACGCGACCCCTGCAAATGTGTAGGGCGGTCCGGTGATGAAATGTGAAGCTTCCCCACACCATTACACTTCCCCCACCCCATCGATTTGTGTCGAAGACGCAGCAGTCTGCAAAACGTTCCCCAAGACGTCTCCACACACGTTGACGGCCATCAGCATGATAAAGATGAAAGCGACTCACTGAAGAGCACACTTTGCCAGTCTACTCTTCTCCATGTCTGGTGCCCTTGAGCTCATATCAAACGCCGCTGACGGTGATGATCCCTGAGGATAGCTCCAACATAAGGTCGTTGTGCACGGACTCCTACTTCTCTTAGAGAACGTTTTACGGTGTTGGCACTTACTGGTCCTTGTCTTCCGACGACTGCTGCACCTGTTCGAGTCGCTGGGCGGAATCTGTCACGCAGATGAGTGGCTCGGATGTAGCGGTCTTGAGCCTGGGTTGTAACGCGTTGTGGACCAGGACGTTGACGGTCAAGTGTTGATCCAGTAACTCGAACACGTTCCACCAACCTTACAATAGTGGACTGATGACGATTGAAGTGTCTGGCAATAGCACGTGTAAACATGCCAGCCTTGGACCTTCCCATGGCTTCATTCCGTTGATTTTCAGTAAGTCTCGGCAGCCCCCCCCCCCCAAAAAAAAAAATTCCGATTTTTTTTTCTCTAAACTACGGAAGCGTATTGGGGTCATGCAAAATTTTGTAGAAGGTCTCGAGATCCTGCGATCCTGTGATACTTTCTCGAAATCCCGTGATCACCTGGTAATTTTCTCGAGATCTCAATTTAATGTTCTCGAAATCCCCTAATAATTTTCCTGAGAAATTGAAATCCTGTGTAAATTTTCTCGAGAATTTGAGTTAATGTTCTCGAGATATTGACATCCAGTCTAAATTTTCTCGAGAATTCGAGTTAATGTTCTCGAGATATTGACATCCTGTGTAAATTTTCTTGAGATCCCGAGTTAATATGAAACCTTAAATGGACCTAGATACTGTCTCCACGTTGTGAAACAAACATTGGCCCAATACTTCGCACCAAATTTGATATAAAAAAAAAATACTCTAACATTTGTTACAAAGGAAAACTACTAACTAATGAAAGAATAAACGGAAAATCGATAGGGTACCCATGATTTACTTAAATTTGAAATATGATTAAAATCGATAGAGTTCATCGTCTTATGGCCAAAATACTTCACAACAAATATGAAATTCAAAACCCTACCACGTTAGCTTTGTCATTTTTTGCAGGGTTTTAGACCATATTTTGTTTTAGAATAAAGCTAGACACAGTGTTTATTGTCTTGTGGCACAAATGCTTCGGAGCAGATTTTAAATCAAAAATCTTGAAAAACTCTGGGCTCTAACCCGTTCACAAGGTTTACCGGAAAATAGGAATAACGCCATAACAAAAAGGCAGGGAGCGCTGCAAATCAATATGGTTCGTTGTTCGGCCGAAAATAAATAGGGTTCCTCTGCTTATGACACTAATGATTCAAAAGAAATTTGAACGATAGCCACGCAAAGTCTGGAGATACGCCCACACAGCATCTATGCCTCAACAGCAGATTATTCGAAAGGAAAACTTGGTTGTTTAATAAATTGAATAAGGATCTAGCATTCATCAAGAAATCTAATCTCTATCGTGTTCTTGTTAAGAAATTGTTAAAATAAATCTGAAAAGAAATTTTTCTTTGACCGTAGGCGACCGCTCGCTTGTATGTTAATGAACTTATTTCATCAGCGCTCACCTGGTCCAAAACCACACACGAGGACCAAACTCCGGGTTACTAAATAGCTACCGGAAAACTTAGAAGAGTAAACTGTGCCCGAGATTTTTTTAGAGAGTGCGCCGCGCCACGCCGCTCCGGGAGGGATCATTGTCGGGGTGGGACGGGGTGGAATTGTCCAGTCACGTGACGAACATAGATCTTCCGTTCCTCAACCCATATTATTTCCATAGTCATTGTCATTAACCACAAATTACGGGATGATATACGAAAATGCAGGTTTACTTTGAAATAGTGCAAATGATACTTTTCCATCTACAATCTTCAGATCAAAGGATGCAAGTTCTTACACAGTGCAGCATAATTTGTGCAACAGAAGACATCTCGAATATCGATTGTCGGAAAAAACATTTTCTCGGGGACATTTTTTTTCCAAATACGCATTCGGTGTAAGTCTTCAGCCACCAGGAAGTGGTGAACGTAGTAATGTTTTATTACGATAGTAGTACATAAAACAAATTGGTTGCCTGAGGTTCTCGGGGGGAAAAGTAGCCTCATCGGCTAGAGTCCTCTATTTCACAATCCTGTTTCCTCCCACTGCTAAAGACCCCTACGTGCAAGCGAATTATTGAAATAAAATTGAACCATATGTTAGTCCCGAAATGACCTAGTTTGTGTCGAGTGGACGTTAAACCCCATTTCTCTCTCTCTCTCTCTCTTTCACAAGCAAAAACAACAGTTACTTCCTTGAAAATTTATCGATCAACCCTTTTCACAGACGTCCAGCTTACCACTTCCCGTCAATGCAGTAAGATAGAATATGTAGTTTTCTCATGGATAATTGGGCAAAAGTTGGGGTTTTCTTAAGGAAAACTGGTCAACAAGTTGGGGAAAAAAGCTTGAAAAGTAATCCAGAAAAAAATCCTGTGTGCGGCCCTCGGAATATGATGGAATATGTTGAATATTATTATGGTTCAAGTGATTATATTTGACCCTGGAATGAAAGTAAGCCCAGAAACAAGTAGATTTTTAGCCCTTCCAATGAGATGGATAGCTCTTGGAAAGGATAGACACTTTTCAGATTACAGCCTGTCATTTCGTTTGGTGATTAGGACACATAGCGGTTAAACCTGGAACTTCAACTCGAACTATTCAGAGATTTATTAACTCGCTTTTGATGATACTTGCTGTTTTATGATGCGATTTTTTGTTACCTAGGGAGGAGTTGGCCTAGTCGTGCCTTCTACTAATTCGTACCACCCTGATGCCAGCGTTACTGGTAAGAATCAGGAGATCGGCGCAACCGGCATATAATGGGGCCCTCCGAGGGCAGTGTTTAATCTACTGAAATACAGAAATCTACTGAAATTTACTGAAAACTAAAATTAAAATACAAAATAAAATATGGTCAATGATGGAGGTAGACTGATTGCGTCTTTTAAAACATTCAAAACATATTAGGCATCAACAAAATTTTGGAGAGGACCAGGCTCCGGGTTACCTATTTAGGGTATTTTCCGGTATTTAGGATGTTTTCCGGTATTTATTGTTTTTCCGGTGTTTTCCGATATTCAGTGTAAAATGGTGTTTTCCAGTTGTTTTCCGGTGTTTTCCGGTATAAAGTATGGCCCCGTTTCACAGTTCATGTACTGCACATTAAGTTGAAAACATGCTTTTAAAGGGCTCACACACAATGCTGCACGTGAATATTGGGTTTTTCATGTGCATCTCGTGCAATTTTTTTTGTGCACACGGGCTGATATTTTTTGCGTTTGGGAGCATTGTGTGAGACAATAGTTCATAGTATTGCATAATATTATACATACAAAACCACCTAGTAATAAAATATTTGGGGAAAAAAGTGATGCGTTTTCCATGGCGCTCAGTATATAAAGGTGAAACATAAATAAACGATTTGATCAAATCCAACGGCTGTGCTATATTTATAAAAATTTCTGCCGAATGAGCATCAGCTACGATGATTTAATAACAAAAAGCGAATTGTATGCATAGATAATTACATGAATATGAAACATTTAAATCATATACCACAGTCTGTTAAAATATTAAAAAGAGAATTAATTAGCTACAATGATTTAATAACAAAAAGCGAATTGTTGCATTTAAAAAAAATAATAGAAATTTCCATATTGATATTACACAGCCTACCCAATAGTAGTAATTCACACACAAAGGATATAATTAAACTAAAATTGCTTCAGCATTTCACTAAATTTACATCGTTTATGATCGAAAGCCATTTTCATGCAGTTGGGTTTCAATAACAGAATTACCCCGTGATATAACCGTATAATTATACGGTCCATGATATTTTTAGGCTCAAATAACCCAACTATAACAGAAAGCATGCAGTTCCACCTTACAGTGAGTTAAATTGATTTAAGGTTTATTATGTAATGAATAATACATTGCGTGTCACATTCTGGAATTCTTAGTACATTCAATCGTTTTTAACCGCTTTAACAAACACCTATCAATTATCGTCAATAATCACAAATCACAACAATCACTACCCAGCAGAATGGGTTCAATAATCAACACCAGATTAAATACTTTTTCAATCGTTTTTTAAACTGCTTTAACAATCACCAATCAATTGTCGTCAATAATCACAACTCACTGGGCAGATTGGGTTCGATAGTCAACACCAGACTATAGTTTATTATTTCAATTTCTTTTAACAACATAAAGATTTCTTTTAATTTCTTTCAATTTATTTCAACAACATATTATAGGAAATGGTACGAATCAATTTGAGGTACAAATCACATGTGTATTCTAATTCTGGTTCGGCAGCCACTTTTATAAATTAAGCGCAGCCGTTGGATTTAGGAGATGGAACTAATCAATTTGAGGTACAAATCTCGTGCATATTCTAATTCTGGTTCGGCATATTCAATTTCTTTCAACTGATTTCAACAGCATAGGAAAAGGTACGAATCAATTTGAGTTACGAAGTGAGGTACGAATGAACTAAGTACGAAACAGCCAGGTTAAGAAACAGCCTGCACCCATAATTACATATAGAGCATGTACGGTAATTTAAATCAGAAATTAATTTTGCAAGAATTGTTTCTTTTTTTTTACAGTTTATCATACAATGACTTGGATTTGCCCATCTGTTTATTTCATAACCCTTGTACAAATACACAAACAAAAATTTCAAATCAGATGATAAATAAGTGAATCATTATTTCTGGTTTTAAAATACTGGTTAAACCCGTTAAATTGTACACAATAAAGACATCTTATCATCTACATACACTGAATAACAAAAATATGGGAAATAATAAAATATATTCATTACCAAGCTCATTCTTTTTCTTCTCTTTGTTTGATAAATGACTGAAAATAATTAAAACATAATAAAACGAAAAAAAAAGCGAAACAAGCAAGCATGAAACAAATAAAATAATATTTATCTATTATTTAAAGAGTCATTATCGCTGGGAAAGTCTCCACCTCTTGTGTGAAGAATTTTAGAGAAATTTTTCAAGTCCTTACGGAGATATAAAACTTTTTTAGAGGTTGTCCAGAAGTATATTTAACTCCTAACATTACTCTGAATAGATCATCACTGGTCATTTCTTGTTTATTCTATAATAAGGTGAATCTAAGGTTATCGTGAATATAATATTATTCAAAATTAATAACATCTATTTTCAGTGTTTAATAATTTTGGTACCCTCGTATTCAAGCAAGAAATAAAGACCAAGGATAAAAACTAATAATCAGTCACTGATGGACAATATTTGGGACTGTAATTATCACTTTATAACTTTAACTGAATGACAATATGTCTGAGACATAGGTGAATTTACAAAAAAATATATATAACTATTGAGTTGCATCCACTTTGCACAATTATGATATTTTGGGACAAACATGAGGTAAATAAAATTAGTACTTGTCACATCTCCGTTTTGATTCACACTCCTCACATTGTTTCAGTTCTGTACCCAATAAAAAGGGAATCACAGAACTGTGACAGATTAGATTTACTCTAAAACCTATAAATATACTTACACATTATCTTGGGAACTGTCTTTTTTTGCTGTGTGAAAAACGAAACAATCAATGATAAACAGTCTTGCTTGATATCATGCAAAAGGCTTAATTTTTTTTCTAGGACACCAAATATGATATCTCATAAATAGAAAGGGGTTCTTGAATTTAACTTTTATATGACTGATGTAAAGCATTTTTTAAATATAAATTTCCTAAACTGAATTACTCAACTGTATATTGAATTTTCTAGTTATTCAAAGAGTTCATATTATGAAAATAAATTAAGTGTGTAACTTGTATAACTTACCCTTTCTATGGTATATTACCACACCAATAACAGTTGAAGAGCCCCGGGGAAAAACGATCTAAGTCACATTTTCGTCTTTTCGCATAATAGGCAAAAAAACCTTTTGGACGAGAATGCTTGACGCGAACAGAACAATGAGTGGGTTTAATTACAACTTCAAAATGATGTTTAATACGAATCATAATTACCAGTACAACAACTGACGTCCACATTTCAACCAAGGTCACATAAAGGGTACGATGGACGTATTTGTCCGAGAGGCCATTTCAGAAAGGCCTTGGTTCGATGTGACTCCGATCGTTTTTACCTGAAATCGATTGTGCCACAGAAAGCTTATACAATTTGCGACCAGATGGCGCCATAAACTGGGGTTCGTTGAAAGAGTGAATTAGAGCGTTCTTCCCCGGGGCTCTTCAGTTATAATTATTATTATAATTTTATTTTTAAAGCGCTACATTATAACAATAGTTATTTCTAAGCGCCGTACAGTCATATCTACACTGTACAATGGTAGGCACATGATTCTATTTATATGAGTTATTAAACAGATGAGTCTTCAGTTTAGATTTAAACTGAGATAGTTGGGTACACTCTCTGATGTTTCTGGGTAGTTCATTCCAAAGTTTGGCACCCCTAACGGAAAATGAAAACTCACCCACCTGGCCCTGAAAGCGTAGAACAGCAAGTAGGGTTTTGTCACGTCCTGAACGAAGATTAGTTCAGCCAGTGGTGTAAACATTAAACATTTCCACCATATAATTAGGAGCTGTTTTGGTTATTACTGATTTGTAGGTGTTGACGAGAATTTTAAATTTTATTCTGGCTCTCACCAGTAGCCAGCAATATATCAATAATACTACTATAACGTACCCTTTCTACGGTATACCACACTAATAACAGTTATAATTACAATAATCACCAATAACACTTCTATAACTTACCCTTTCTACAGTATATCACCACAACAATAACAGTTATAATACCATCAATATATCAATAACACTTCTATAACTTACCCTTTCTACAGTATATCACCACAACAATAACAGTTATAATACCATCAATATATCAATAATACTTCTATAACTTACCCTTTCTACGGTATATAACCACAACAATAACAGTTATAATACCATCAATATACCAATAATACTACTATAACTTACCCTTTCTACAGTATATCACCACAACAATAACAGTTATAATACCATCAATATATCAATAATACTACTATAACTTACCCTTTCTACGGTATACCACACTAATAACAGTTATAATACCATCAATATACCAATAATACTTCTATAACTTACCCTTTCTACATTATATCACCACAACAATAACAGTTATAATACCAGCAATATACCAATAATACTACTATAACTTACCCTTTCTACAACAATAACAGTATCCCTTTCTACAACAGCATATCACCACAACAATAATACCAATTACCAGCAATACAACAACAACACTTCCAACTATAATAGGTATGTTATTACTTTCCATCTTGCCCGGTGGCTTTGGTGGTTCTACATAAAAAAAACTCTACATAGATAAGGTGGAATAATAATTTAATACAAAAGATATCTGTAAATTCAATACAGTTACTATTTTAATCAGAATCAGAAAGGACTATTTTCAATAAGTAGAAATATAGTCTACCTATTAACATGCTCCTCCAAAAAACAATACGTACGTAGGAGAAAGCAAACGTGTCTTTTCAAAACAAATAAAGGAACACTATGCAGCTATTAGACACAACAGGCCAAAGCCGGTCGCACTACACTTCAACTTAGATAAACATACAAGTAGAAATGTTATGATTAAAATTATAGAGCTTTTTAAGACTGACCCAGATAACGGCAAAAACGATGCCGTAAGGAAGCCAATGAATTCAAATGGATTCACACTTTAAGAACGTTCGCACCTGATGGCATTAACGATAAGATGTAGTCCCAAGGGGTTCCCCACTTTATTGTTTACTCTATTTTCAATTGATCCATAGAGTGGTTTGTATAGCACAGTACATGTTGATATCTCATCATAGAGTCTGAACAGATGGGATTTGAATTGGCTCAGAGTTGGAATGGATTGCAGTTCCATTTTTCAATAAGTTACAGAAAGAAGTCTGAATTTGGTTCTTGCCCGAGACACCAAGCCAGTGCAGTGATTTCAACACAGATGTAATTGGTCAGCACAAATCTGTTTTAATTACAATTCAGACAGCACAGTTTTGAATTCATGGGTCATTCCATGCCAAGTGGACCAGGGATGGGAAGTCGATCCTATTGGAAAAATCTGGAAAACAATATATGTTTTTGTAAGAGTAGAAACTGTGCAAAATTTGTGAGCTGTAGCTTGAAAATTGACTGAGATACGGGCATTTGAGTTTTATGAATTACCAATAAGTTTTCGAAACAAAATATATATCAATAATTTTCCCGATTTTCAGAATCTTGTTTTAACCTTTCTAGAGAAGGTGTAGGGCTCAAATTTTTCAGTCTTATATAACCTTTAGTGTATATTACGAATCTGCAATCAGATTGCAGGTGAGTGGCGGGGTTTGCACACTACTTGGCCATAAACCAAAATAAATTTGGTGCAACTGTATATTTTCTGGATTTTGTAGTGTTCCAGGACGTACAAAGTAATAGATATAGACCCAAATTTTGGCCTATCCCGAGATTGTCGGTAGTACTACGTAAGAAACATATGAATACTTGTATTTTTGAGCCAATTGAACCCAGTATATGTTCATCTAAAAATTTCCCTCTGATCCGAGCGCCCATGAGCTCGATGGATGAGAAGAATTATATGAATATATATAGCCCGAGTGCTCGAGGATTTATATTGCATATTTCTCATTGACCTAAATAAATATGTATACTAACTCAACATTTAATGTCTAAAAATTACACAATTACATGTGCAGTAGTGTATCAACATCCGCCTGACTATAAATAAGAGGTAAGATTCGGCACTAGTTGCCTTTTTAAAGTTTTGTTAGCAACCATATATAGCGCTGGGGAAGGGGGGGGGGCACTTAAAGGGAGGGTATGTAAATCCTCGAGCCATATATATTCATATAATCATTCTAATCCATCGCGCCGTGGTTGAGAGAAAACAAATAAGCTGTTAAGATTTATCCCTATAATTAAAAAAATTGCATTATTTTCTGTAGATCTATTGTAGAACTTGTAAAAAACTTATAGTTGTTCCATGATGCTGTTTTAAGATTGTATTAGAGCAACCAGAATTAAAAGATGCAGATGTGGAAATTGGACGAATTGAATGAGTGTAAGATGAGATACAAGAAGTTGAGAAGACTTCCTAACATCTGAAGATAATGCATCGGCTTTGCTATAAGGTATACTTATATATTTAGCAGATACCGGTAAATAAATATTTCTAGAAGCACACCAGTACCAAATTTGTTTGCTTATTTCAAAAAAATAAATTGCTACACAATGATCTAAATCCATAGAAAACTGTCAGCAGTTCAAGATAATTTATTGAGATTCTGAACTATTCCAAAGCCCATAGGCGTGAATATCATTGGAGTGAGCACCCCATCCATATAGAGAACCATCCAAAGTAAAGACATAAGAGTGAGGGGTGGCCTTATATGGTTACTATTATAAATACTAATGTTATATGTAACCACCAGTTTACTCAAACGTCATTGAGGGAAATACCCATATGAATAATTACATTCTGTTAACCCATTTAACGCTGAGCCAATTAAAAGATTAGCTACCCTACTCCTAAGCTAATTAAATCAGCAGGGCCCATTTCCTAAGCCAATTAGTGGATTATTGTTAATCCTAATACCCTCTACAAAATTGCAAATAACTAAAAAAATATTTTCTATACATAGAAATACCCTGTTACAAAAATGTACAGATTGTCGTGTTCTTTCCAATGATATAAAATTCAATTTTACAAAGTAGAAATAATATTACTATAAATAACATTGAAAAGTCAGTTCCACTAAAATTATGAGTTTTCTCTGTCATAATGGTAAAATAACGTGAACAAGTATCCCCAAATTATTTTTTTTTAAAAATAGAACACAAATATAGTCCCTCACGTTGGCAGCATGATCAAAATAAATGTAAATATAACTTTTAAAAAGAAATATCACCCCAAGTAACGGTCACTTCATCGCTATCGGCATTTTAAAGGGACTATCCCGATTTCAAGAGAGTCTCAAAAATAAAAGTCGGTGTACGTATGAAATTTAAGCGCCAAAATATAGAGGAATGGTGTATTTACCTTCTCTCAAAATTCTAGCCCAAAATATTGAGTCGTTTGGACATGAACGTCAAAACTGCTTATCTGGACACGTAACCCTTTTAAGAATTTGTGTCAGGTTTTTTCGTTGGGTGACCTGATAATCGATTCCCGTTCCTTGAGTGGTCTATATAGTGAATGGCCCATGTGCTCTACTTGATAACGAAAGGCAAATTTCACCTACACATTATTTTTATAAAATAAAAGTTGAGTTTTATCCAGACACCGCATAATACAGCTTGGGACACCGGTCTCCATTTCTAGATGAAGACTGACGGGTTTAAGTTGTTTGAAAACTTATCAAAAATATTGAGTTAGTTGCTCGTCCCTTAGATAGAGGAATTAAAGGGATTTTAACAAAAAAATTAGGCAGTTTTATTCTCCCAAAAATACCGGGATTAGCCCTTTAACATTTCTGCCTTTCTTTGGATATATGGTCGTCTTCTTTGCTTTATTGCGTCGAAAATAAAAATATATAGTTGAAATTTTCGACAATGTAATATTCCTCTATGTAGCTTGTATTAAATCCCAAAAGTTTTGATTCAATTTAGTTTTCCAACGTCTAGAATTATTAGCCGTAAGTTTTGTGTAATCGTCTATTTGAAAACGTACCGTATCCAAGATGGCGGCGACACGCTTGATCTCGGTTCGAGTATCTGTATTCTTCGCATCATAATGTTGTAGGGGGTCAAATATTAAGTAAATAACCACACCAAGGGTTCAGTAAAACAGCAATTTATTACCTTATAATAAAAACCCCATGAAGGGGTTTTTAATAAAGTAACCAGAGTCTGGAAACAAGGTGAAGTACCTTATAGCTCTGTCTTTAAACTGTAAACAATAAATCTGTAGATAATAATTCTTCCAATACCAAATACACACAATTGATACAAATAAATGAAACTATTATTATAACTATTGAAACTTTAAATATAAAATCACTACCAAGGTTGAATGAAATATTCAACCTCACACTACAAGATTCTATAAGTAAGTGACCAAGGAGATAGGAAATACAAATCCAAGAAACCTTTGGGTCAAAGGTGAAAATTGAATCCTAGTGACCAGATGATGAACTCGAACTCACTGGTTAGAAGAGTGTACAGAACAGGATAGTTTAAAGATGCATTGATGTGTGACATATTACTTAAAATTACATTAGTATTGTGATCATATTAAAATACCCATAAACTAAATAAAATCACTCTACCACATACTCCCTCCCTTTGGGAAAATGTTGTCCCTAACATTTAAATCTAAACCATCAAACTAGTAAAACACATCCGGGAACAGACTCTTACACAAAGATGGTAATGAATTTAAAACAACTTGTAACCGATCAGGTGACAAACTCATGAAATCCGTTGGTAGAAGAGACTTCGCCAAATCCGCACGAAACTGTGGAGTAGAAGCTACTGGTTGTTGCTGCGACATGACGTAGTCGTTATACCGGGCTGGTTGTCTTCTCTCTCTTCCTGATCTTCTAGGAGTAGGATCTTCTGGCAAGTGTGATTCCTCCGATGTCTCTGAATCTGAGGCTGACGCATCAGGCCTGTCTGCATCATCTTGATGTGAATTATCAAGCTCAGATTCCACCACATCCTCTGTGACCTGTAACTCTGGTGGGCTAGCTGGGTGCAGGAAATCTGCACTTTCCACCAGATAAACAAGCTCCTCCTCGTCACTTTCTGCCTCTTCCGGTTCTGTGATTTCTGTCACCTTTGGTGGTTGCAATTTTCTCGGCTTTGGTGTTGGACCACGATGGATTGGTTCGATGGCTGGAAGACTGCTGATTGGCAAAAGGTGGTTACGGTGTAGAGTTCTCTTTCTGTTTCCACCTAATTCCTGCAACTCGTACACCGGAATGTCTTGATTGGGTCTTCTGAGGATCTTGTATGGCTTATCCTCCCACTTATCAGCAATCTTATGCCTTCCTTCCTTAAATGCCAATCGCCTAACTAAAACGGTATCGCCAGGCTCCAGGGTGTTTGTTCTAGCTCTCAAGTTGTATTTATCTTGTTGGTTCTGGTGCATATTATCCACAAGGGCTGAGGCAGTTAAATACGCATGTTCCAGTCTCTCCTTCAGGGATTCAACGTATGAATGATAGCTCTTAGCGGCCTCTTTATCCCGTACGAGTCCGAGCATAACATCAACAGCTAATATTGGCTTCTTACCAAACATTAACTCATACGGAGAATACCCTGTTGAAGAGTGTCTGGTACAATTGTAGGCA